CTGTCTGTCTGTCTGTCTGTCTGTCTGTCTGTCTGTGTGTGTGTTGGGGGGGGGGGGGGAGGGGGCTGTAGCGATTGACCTGTGGGTTAATGGTTTATGAAAGGGAAAGATGGGTGAGACCAGGGGGTCAAATCCATGTCAGAATAGCATATGGAATGGCTGGTACTGAGGGGGCACAGTAATATTGGCAGGGGGGCTAGTCCTACTTTGTCTCTGCCTTAATGGACAACAGTCATACCAAGTATGTGCAAGGTTTGTGTGATGGTAGTGTACAGTACCTGCTAGCATACTGCTCTATCCTGGAATGAGTGTCATCATGAGAGAACTGGGGTGACTGGGAAAGCCTGGAGAGAGGGAATGGAGGGGTGGAGATGGGTACAACATGAAACACAATAACAACCACAAATACTTTAATCAAATGGATAAATGAGCAGCTAGAAATCTATGAGAATATAATAAACAAAGAAAGAAAAGAAACAACAGAAGATTGTGATGATTTAGGAAGCCGGTCAGGAGTTACTGCACTGCTAATGGGATAAGAGGAGGTTAGGAGATTTTGGTAGTTTTGGTTGGTCAATCAAGCAGACAGGCAACATGCGGTATGACGGCTTAGCCTGGGGGTGGTTGGGGTGGGGTGGGGGGTGAGTTTTGGATGCAGGGACAGGGAAGAGAACAGGACTCTGTTCAGGGGCATTCTGATCTCGAGGGCGCGGGGCGTGCAGATACTCACTCATACTGCTCCGGACACATGCTGATGAGAGTGACGGGACTGTAAGAGAAACGGAGGGAGGGAGGGAGGGAGGAGAAGAAAGCCACCACAGAACATCAATCTTTAGGGCCACATCACATGAACAAGGTCAAGAACCAAATGCAACAGGAGGAGAGTACAGGTGGTAGGGTTCCAACCAATGATGTACGGTATATAAACCCTGGCTTGCTGATGCTACGTATTGGCCATTGAGAGACTTTGAAGCCATGGCCAGCCATATTGGCACTCCCCAGTAGGACAAGTCCTTCATAGGAATGAATGGAATTCTACAGTATTTCAATTAACTGTTTCAAGGACAAAATTACATTTATTTATATATTTTGTTGTTGTAGTGGAAACAGTAACATTAGTAATTAGTAAAGTATACTTTAAGGAAAATGTTTTTATATATTTGTTCATGTTTTATTTTTATGTTTAGATCACATCATGTAATTTATGAATTAAGGTGTCTGTAATAGAACAAGCATGGTAAAAACTAATGTAGACATTAATAAATGCATTTCTATAGCTTCCAAAGGTGGGTGGTACTAAGATGGAAGCAAGGTGGCTTCAACACAGCGCCTCCTATCAGTCATATACATACATACAAATCATTGGTTCCAACCAGCAGCTATGCTTAGAATAGCCAGAAGGGGGCGACAACAGGGGCACGCAGAAGCACACCTGGTAGATGTTGCCCTTAGGCACAGATCTAGGATCAGTTTGCCCACCCCAAATCCTAACCTTTACCATTATTAGGGAAAATGCAAAACTGGCCTTAGATCAGCATCTAGGAGCTCATCCAAATATAATATCCCCTCTAGTCTAAGGGCTATGGTCCAATGATTTCTAATGATTCAACTATTAATTTCCAAGTGATATTGTAATTGAGTCCCTATTTAAATAATTTTAGTAGAATATTCCCTTACGAGCAAGACTATGTAGCCCCAGGCCTGTACTTACTGTAGTTGTTAAGTATGCTTTTTAAGTTTCCACACTGATTACAAGGACATTTGCCGCTATTATTAGGCATACTTGACATTTACCAGCAATACCAAAATGATCAAGAGACCATATTCAGTCTGTCTTTCACTTATTACAGTGTCATTTAATGTGCAGTCTTCAAAATGAACATATTTTTCTAAACATACAGGATGTACTGCACAGCGCACACAGATGAAACACCTTTGGCAAGGGAAAAAAATGAATTTAATCTAGCGAGAAAGAACGGTTGCTAAATATAGATGTGCTAAAGGAAGAGAAGCATCTTCCTCTTTTCGAGAAGGAGAGGATGTTTGAGATGCTAAAATAATTGCTTGGGAGCTCTGAAGGTTACTTGTGTTTTTGTTCGCAATGTGAAAGTGGAGACATTCAAACAAAGCGCTGCATCGTGGGTATGTGTCTCTCGCAGTGGGAAAGAAAGCAGTAGTCGTCACTTCTCTGCCCGCGAGGAGACTCTTATTGCACCAGATCACTCAGTGAGGGAGAGATTGAGCTATTTGGGGCTGCTGTCTGCGGTGTCCTACCACTTTGTGCACCCCCGTCAACTGGTGCCATTAGGAAGTGGGCTTTTTCACCTGAGAGCAGCAACAACCAGTGTTTGAGTTGATTTGTTTAAAGCCATATACTGCTGTGCTGAGCTCTTCCAGTTTTTTCTCCTACTCACGACAGGCTGGGCCAGGGGTGTTGTAACCTCCGGATGGGTGCACTCTTGTGAAAAAGATAAACAGAGCGAGGGAGGAAGGGAGAGAGGGAGACCTTGGGAGCGTTTAGCTCTGACAAATGTTGCTGTTGCTGTATAGAGTGCAGTCAGAACAGGCAGCAGGAGTAAGGGGCCTGGAGAGTCAGTGATGTTGAGCCTAAAGAGTTCACTTTTCCCTGAGATGGCAGTAGGCCAAAGGCCAGTCCAACTACAGCCTACCTCTCTGGGCCTGGCTATACGGAGTAACCAGTTATCAAGCACAGCAATCAATAGGACTGATATTATCACTGTCAACAACCCACAGCTGTGGATATTTTTTTTGGATTGTACAATATGACAAACAAAAAGCAAACATGTAGATTTACTAGTCTATTTCTAACAAAATAACTTTTCTTTACAAAGTGTGTGGAGGGCATTTGTCTTTCAAGAAATAACTGTTGTTATAACTATTTTCTGGTACATGTTTTCTGGTAAATCACACATCTCTGCATTGAACCATGTCCCTGGCAGGCAGAGTGTGTCTGTGTGGGTATTATTGTATCAGAGAAAGTGACTGACTGGGATGTACAAAGACAACAGTAGAGCCAACGGTAATGGACCTTGGCAGGGAGACAGACACACTGAGAGACAGTCAAATACAGAGTTTTAAAGTTAAGAGGAAGGATGGGCATTTTCATTTGCAAAGCCTTGATGAGATGACACTGTGTGTGCAGAGTGCTGAATATACTGTGATGCCAATTCTGATACTATAGAGAGATGTTGCTGGAGTGGCTACAAACTATTTTTACAACAACTAGGCTACATGGTACCTAGTTGTGTTGAGTAAAAGGTTGTCCTCATCAGTATGGTTTACATGATGTTGTATTGTGTCATACAGTATATTGTACCTTTTCACTGAATACCAATAAAGTTATTAAATCCAATTCAAATCCTGAATATTCTGAACACACTTCAATAGTCTTGAAAGACAAGCTGGCCTGACACTCTTTTCTCTCCTCTCCTCCTCTATCAAGGGGGTTAAGAACCCCTGTGTGCACTCTGACACCTTTTCATGCCTCCTGTCAGAGAGCGCAGAGACAGCCAGCCGCCAGCTAGACAGACAGAGGTGGTGCTGGGAACACGGAAACACCGCCATATGTTCAGAGGGGAATATCATTAGCCCGCGCTCGCTACCACATCCTACGCTAGGGCTTTCCGCTCAGTTTGACAGATGTGTGTGTGTGTGTGTTTTTTCAGAATGTGTCTATATCTGTGCTGTGTTATTGACTCCACCCAAATCAAATCAAAAAGATAGAGATAGAGAGAGAAAGAGAGAGAGAGTGACAGAGAAAGTCTGAGTTAATGTGTTTTAAGACAAGTCCCCAAATGCACAAACTCCAATCCACACAACTCCTAAACTCATCAGACTCCCTGCTAGAGTTAACGTAGTGTACAGTCTTATCCTGAACTCTTCCAAATACGGGTTGTGAACAGCACATAACACACCAAGCTAGGAGGATCAGATGCTTCTTTCACATTAACACACATCTCTGTGTCGTACCAGAAATCCTATTTGGCGTGTAATGAAGGAAGAAGAGTTGGGAGGGAGTTAACAGTGGGTGGGGTTCTGTGTTCTATAGGTGGGGAAAACGTTTGAGGAAACAGAATAACTGTGACCAGAGATAGATAGAGAGAGAGAGAGAGAGAGAGAGAGAGAGAGAGAGAGAGAGAGAGACAGATAGAGAGAGCGAGGGAGACAGGGAGAAGGAGAGAGATAGAGAGAGACAGACGGACGGAGAGAGAGAGGGCGCGAGAGAGAGAGCGGGAGAGATGGGTGCTCTCTCTCTCTCCCTCCCTCCCTCAGAGATGGCCTGATTCACTGTCTCCACACACTGAATGTCAATGTGTTTCTGTGTGTGCGTGTGTGTGTATGTGTGGGCTTAAAAGTAAGAATTGCCTGTTTTGTTACCAGACTTTCAGCAGTTTGTGGATGGTAGAGAAGCCAGGTGGGGGAAGAAAAGTGGAAAATGAATGTCATGGAATAGTCATATTTCTCCAAGTCTCCAGTTTCTTTGCAGCTTTTTAAGGAATCTCGCCCCGATTTGCCACCATTTCTGTCAGGTAGACAACGCTGCAGGAGTCATTTCTCAGGGATAGCGGGAGGAAGGGGGGAAAGGAGAGACAGAGTGGAGAGAGGAGAGGAATGAAGAGGGAGGGGCCATCTATCTGAGGTGTGGCTGTGGACATCTGGACTGTGTATGTGTGTGTGTGCGACCGCTCGTGTGTGTGTAACTCCAGGCTATAATTCACAGTTTGTTTTTAATATCCGCTTTCACGACTCAAGTAGAAGGAGAGAGAGAGAGAGAGAGAGAGAGAGAGACAGAGACAGAGAGAGAGAGAGAGGGAGACAGAGGATCTGTACAAAGATGGAAAGATACTGAGACAGAGGATATAGCAAAGAAGGTTCAGATCATAGAGGGGGACATAACTCACACCTAAAGGGCACTCACCACCCGCCACTAGCATCTGCATAATCTGTAACGCTAGTTAAACACCATTACTGAGGATTTATGTGTGTCTGAGCGGGCGACCGGTGTAAATCGAGACAGACTCACTCCAAAGTAGAGCAGCAGCTCTGTGCAACACAGGAGATATATGGCCTGAGTATGCCAGGGGGTATAACGGTTTACAGACCGGAAGTGTAAATTAAAGTGTTGATAGAGGGCTCACCCAGGCAACACAACAACCCCCTTCCTCCCAGGTACTTACGTCTCCATATTGTCTCCTTCTAGAATCGTCTGGACCGGTAGGTAGCCCAGCCGGGGGTGCTTGGCAAAGTACTTCTTGGAGCGGAACTTGTTTTTCAGCACCTTGGTGAAATCACGCATGTCCTCACCCGAAGTAGTCTGGAAGAGTGAGAAAGGGGTGAGAAAGTTTATAAGAAGGAGTTCATTAGCAAATACATTCTCAGAGAGTGGCGGATTCTGCTTTGCCAGTGAAAGTCAAATTACCACAGTGCCCTGACCTAAAGAGGAATTGTTCTTCCTAGGATTCAGGGAACAGCTAGGGAGATTCAACTTCTGCAAACACACACCGAAGCAGGGGAACACACATAAACACACTGTGACGCAAAGGAACACACACATTCTAATGAGTTCATACGGCTTTCAACTAATATGTAGACCACAACACACCCAGAGAGAGAGAGAGAGAGAGAGAGAGAGAGAGAGAGAGAGAGAGAGAGAGAGAGAGAGAGAGAGAGAGAGAGAGAGAGAGAGAGAGAGAAAGAGACATCTCAGTACTTGAGAAGGAAGGTTTGTGTGTGGAGCTTGAGTAGTGTGTTGTGGCAGGTAGGCTACTGGGCTAGAGAAGAGTCCGTAAAATCACAATAGAGACTTGTCAAACTTGTGCCCAAACAACTACTTCGGAAGACCGAATAGACCACAGCACACAATTTATTCTACCATGTTTTTGCTGAATAATTAATACTAGCAATGTGGGAACAATCAAATGAAAAAGCAATATTGTGCACATCAAATAAACAGTGGGACTGATATGAGAAAATGTTTCTAAAATGACTGCAATGGGACCCACGGCGGCCCCATTTTACACAGCATCATATTGATCTTTACCTCCTAAATCAGGTTATGGTCCTAGGCATCTGCTGTGCCTTAGTATTAATATGTACTTTATCCTTTTTGGAGACATTAAAGTACCATCAAATGTGTTTTGTTTCTGTGTGGAAGAGAGGGTATTGTAAATGTGCTATTGTTGGTTTAGAGAGGGGCTACTCTCTGAGGAAATAAGTTTGATTTCATTTAATAAAAGAGTATCTCTATTCAACACATGGTGTGTAATAAAGTATTTATTCCTCCAAGTGGACTGTGGTTCTGAAGTAACAGTGAGAATCAAAGGTGTAACGTCACTGTTTTGTTAGGTCTTCTCCAGTAAAATGGTTCAGACAGCCAAGAATCCACAATTTCAAACTCATCAATTTAATAGCTTACACTAATATCCCTTTCATACACAGACCGAAATCTCACTCATTTACCATGCCTGCTTCTTTTTGCCTGCATTTTATCTGAAAGGGGTGGTAAAAAAAGGAAAAATAAAAACCACCTAAAGACCTAGTCATGATTCCTGCATTTTCACAGACCCTGTAACCAAAATACAGGTATCAGGTTTGTGTAAATGGTTCTCTACTTTTTTGCAGGTCAATTAATTAACACTTCCATTGTTTAACACCTCCCTCATTTGAAATGCAAACAGCCCCCATTGTTTAACAACAACCCACTGACCCCACCCCTCCCAATTTGCCAGTTACCCACTGATATGTATAAAAGGTGTATACGTAAAATAAAAGTGGTAAATAAGGGGTTGTTTGAAGGGGGGTCCTATAAACATTGGCTAATATTTTTTACAGGTAATATAAAACCCCAAACAGCTAGTAATGCAGGTGTAGAAGCACGGTGGCTAGGAAAAACTCCCTAGAAAGGCGAAAACCTAGGAAGAAACCTAGAGAGGAACCAGGCTATGAGGGGTGGCCAGTCCTCTTCTGGCTGTGCCGGGTGGAGATTATAACAGAACCATGCCAAGATGTTCAAAAATGTTCATAAGTGACAAGCATGGTCAAATAATAATCAGGAATAAATCTCAGTTGGCTTTTCATAGCCGATCATTAAGAGTTTGAAAACAGCAGGTCTGGGACAGGTAGGGGTTCCATAACCGCAGGCAGAACAGTTTAAACTGGAATAGCAGCAAGGCCAGGCGGACTGGGGACAGCAAGGAGTCACCACGGCCGGTAGTCCCGACGTATGGTCCTAGGGCTCAGGTCTCTCAGTTGGCTTTTCATAGCCGATCATTAAGAGTTGAAAACAGCAGGTCTGGGACAGGTAGGGGTTTCGTAGCCGCAGGCAGAACAGTTGAAACTGGAATAGCAGCAAGGCCAGGCGGACTGGGGACAGCAAGGTGTCATCATGCCCGGTAGTCCTGACGTATGGTCCTAGGGCTCAGGTTCTCAGAGAGAAAGAGAGAACGAGAGAATTAGAGAGAGCATACTTAAATTCACACAGGACACTGGATAAGACAGGAGAAGTACTCCAGGTATAACCAACTAACCCCAGCCCCCCGACACATAAACTACTGCAGCATAAATACTGGAGGCTGAGACAGGAGCGGTCCGGAGACACTGTGGCCCCATCCGAAGAAACCCCCGGACAGGGCCAAACAGGAAGGATATAACCCCACCCACTCCGCCAAAGCACAGCCCCCGCACCACTAGAGGGATATCCCCAACCACCAACTTACAATCCTGAGACAAGGCCGAGTATAGCCCACAGAGGTCTCCACCACAGCACAAACCAAGGGGGGGGGCGCCAACCCAGACAGGAAGATCACGTCAGTAACTCAACCCACTCAAGTGACGCACCCCTCCCAGGGACGGCATGAATATAATATACTATAATCTGTCTGAAATGGGTCTAAGTCAGAAACAGAAAGGCCTGATTGTGTATGGGTGAGGAGTCTGACATTGCAGTTTGACTTTCTGCTTCATAACTGAAAGCTATAATATTATTTGCCCATGCTTAAACATGACTTGTATAACGTTTTCATCCCACAGTCACTGGAGGCAGCTAGCATTACATAGCCAGGACAGGAGTGATTGCTGTTCCTCGTGGCTGGTGGTCTGTATCAATATCCAGGCTATCACATTTGGAGATTGAAAAACTAAATTAAATCACCAAAAGAAAATAAACATATTCCCCTACCAGTCGAAGTGTGACATTCAGCAATATTCCAACGCTGTGCGTGAGCTCTACTAATCTAAAAAGAGAAGACTGTTCAATTTCTGCAAATCCCCTCCCTCCCTCTCACCTGAAACTGTCACTCAATCATAGTGTGTGAAAAATGCCTTTCAGAAATTATAAACAGCTCAAAGAACAGAAGTCTTTTACTGTTCGCTCGGTCGAATCCAATTTGCGTTCCGGGCTCCTGAAGAAGTTGATGTAGAAGGCAGGACAAGTTTCAGAAATCAGTGATTTGGAGAATAAGGTGGCACAGAGGTGCGTGTGTGTGTGTGTGTGTGTGTGTGTGTGTGTGTGTGTGTGTGTGTGTGTGTGTGTGTGTGTGTGTGTGTGCGTGTGTGTGTGTGTGTGTGTGTGTGTGTGTGTGTGTGTGTGTGTGTGAGTATGTGTGTGTGTTCCTCACCGGCGTGCAGTACTCCACCATGGGGTAGTTGAGCTTGTGGCCCTTAGCGGTTCGTCCAGAGAAGAAGCAGCTCTGACACACGTCATAATTAAAGTGCTTCAGACTGCGATACCTAGGGATGAAGGGAAATGGATAGTATTAGTATTTTATTAGGATCCCCATTAGCTACTCTTACTGGGGTTCACACAAAACATGAGACATGACATAATACATAACATTAATAGACAAGTACATCACAAGGACAGAACTACATACATTTAAAATAAGAATACACGCTTTCATACATTTCTGTCTTCATAATCATTTGATTCATAGACGCTACTGAATGCAATCAAAAAATGAAAATGGAAATGCAATAACAAGGAGGTGTGTTGGAAATAGGCTGACACTTTTCACTAAATTCCTGACGTGAATATAGCCACCTTGATTCGATCGAGACAGAGAGAGAGAGAGAGAGTAGAGAAATAAGAGAATAAAGTGTGATGAGATTTCTCAATTTCTCTTGCATGTCTCTCACATACGTGTGTGTGTCCTGCTCTCAACTTGGCTATTCCAGGGCCTCACAGGGAGCTACCGATTTTCTGTCACCACTTTTTCTCGCCAATTCCTCTGTGAAGATCAAAATGGAGCACACATACACACCCAAACCCACGGTCTAAAATTCTGAATGACACCTGCAGCTCTATCCCAATGCACCTTATCATCGTGCTCAAAACAGAATATAAAAGACATCCATAAATTGAGATGGGCAGAATTCAGGCAATATAATCAAATAAAATCAAAGAATATTTGTCACATGCGCCGAATACAACAGTGAAATGATTACTTACAAGCCCTTAACCAACAATGCAGTTCAAGAAATATAGTTTAATTATGGTTTGTGGGTAGAAGCTGTTAAGGAGCCTTTTGGACCTAGACTTGGCGCTCCGGTACCGCTTGCCGTGCAGCAGCAAAGAGAACAGTCTATGACATGGGTGACTGGAGTCTTTGACCATTTTTTGGGCCTTCCTCTGACACCGCCTAGTATAGAGGTCCTGGATGGCAGGAAGCTTGGCCCCAGTAATGTACTGGGCCGTACGCACTACCCTCTGTAGGGCCTTACGGTCAGATGCCGAGCAGTTGCCATACCAGGCGGTGACGCAACCGGTCAGGATGCTCTTGATGGTGCAGCTGTATAACTTTTTGAGGATCTGGGGACCTGTGCCAAATCATTTCAGTCTCCTGAGGGGGAAAAGGTGTTGTTGTGCCCTCTTCACGACTGTCTTGGTGTGTTTGGACCATGATAGTTTGTTGGTGATGTGGACACCAAGGAACTTGAAACTCTCGACCCTCTCCACTACAGCCCCGTCGATGTGAATCGGGGCGTGTTCGGCCCTCCTTTTCCTGTAGTACACGATCAGCTCCTTTGTCTTGCTCACGTTGAGGGAGAGGTTGTTGTCCTGGCACCACACTGCCGGGTCTCTGACCTCCTCCCTATAGGCTGTCTCATCGTTGTCGGTGATCAGGCCTACCACTATTGTGTCGTCAGCAACCTTAATGATGGTGTTGGAGTCGTGTTTGGCCACGCAGTCGTGGGTGAACAGGGAGTACAGGAGGGGACTAAGCATGCACCCCTGAGGGGCCCCCGTGTTGAGGATCAACGTGGCAGATGTGTTGTTACCTACCCTTACCACCTGGAGGCGGCCCATCAGGAAGTCCAGGATCCAGTTGCAGAGGGAGGTGTTTAGTCCCAGGGTCCTTAGCTTAGTGATGAGCTTTGTGGGCACTATGGTGTTGAACGCTGAGCTGTAGTCAATGAACAGCATTCTCACATTGGTATTCCTTTTGTCCAGGTGGGAAAGGGCAGTGTGGAGTGCGATTGAGATTGCGTCATCTGTGGATCTGTTGGGGCGGTATGTGAATTGGAGTGGGTCTAGGGTTTCTGGGATGATGGTGTTGATGTCAGCCATGACCAGCCTTTCAAAGCACTTCATGGCTACCAACGTGAGTTCTACGGGGCGGTAGTCATTTAGGCATTTAGGTTACCTTCGCATTCTTGGGCACAGGGACATGTAGGCATTACAGACTCGGTCAGGGAGAGGTTGAAAATGTCAGTGAAGACACTTGCCAGTTGGTCCGCGCATGCTCTGAGTACACATTCTGGTAATCCGTCTGGCCCCGCGGCCTTGTGAATGTTGACCTGTTTAAAGGTCTAGCTCACATCGGCTACGGAGAACGTGATCACACAGTCGTCTGGAACAGCTGGTGCTCTCATGCATGCTTCAGTGTTGCTTGCCTTGAAGCGAGCATAAAAGGCCTTTAGCTCGTCTGGTAGGCTTGCATCACTGGGCAGCTCGTGGCTGGGTTTCCCTTTGTAGTCCATAATAGTTTGCAAGCCCTGCCACATCCGACGAGCATCAGAGCCGGTGTAGTAGGATTCAATCTTAGTCCTGTATTGACACTTTGCCTGTTTGATGGTTCGTCTGAGGGCATAGCGGGATTTCTTATTAGCGTCCGGATTAGTGTCCCGCTCCTTGAAAGCGGAAGCTCTAGCCTTTAGCACGGTGCGGATGTTGCCTGTAATCCATGGCTTCTGGTTGGGATATGTACATACGGTCACTGTGGGGACGATGTCGTCGATGTACTTATTGAAGCCGGTGACTGAGGTGGTATACTCCTCAATGCCATTGGATGAATCCCGGAACATATTCCAGTCTGTGCGAGCAAAACTGTCCTATAGCTAGCATCCGCGTCATCTGACCACTTCCTTATTGAGCGAGTCACTGGTACTTCCTGCTTTAGATTTGTCTTGTAAGCAGGAATCAGGAGGATAGAATTATGGTCAGATTTGCCAAATGGAGGGTGAGGGAGAGCTTTGTATCCGTCTCTGTGTGTGGAGTAAAGGTGGTCTAGAGTTTTTTTTCCTCTGGTTGCACATGTGACATGCTGGTAGAAATGAGGTAAAACGGATGTAAGTTTGCCTGCATTAAAGTCCCGGCCACTAGGAGCGCCACTTCTGGATGAGCATTTTTTGCTTATGGCCTTATACAGCTCGTTGAGAGCGGTCGCTCTCTCTCTCTCTAAGGTAATCTGATTGATGACAGAGCCCATAGCAATACATCAGACAGTAGAGCACAGTACACCCCACGTCCCACGCCCCATTACACAGCAACATGCAGCGTATTACTACACAGACATCTTTCATTAGCCTTGACACAGACGGCCACTAATTAATGACTATGGGATCTACACTGAGTGTACAAAACATTAAGAACACCTTCCTAATATTGAGTTGCACCCCTCCACCCCCCTTTGCCCTCAGAACAGCCTCAATTCGTTGGGGCATGGACTCTTCAAGGTGTCGAAAGCGTTCCACAGGGATGCTGGCCCATGTTGACTCCAATGCTTCCCACAGTTGTGCCAAGTTGGCTGGATGTCCTTTGGGTGGTGGACCATTCTTGATACACAAGGGAAACTGTTGAGTGCACCTACTACCATACCCCGTTCAAAGGCACTTAAATATTTTGTCTTGCCCATTCACCTTCTGAATGCCACACATACACAATCCATGTCTTAATTGTCTCAAGGCTTAAAAATCCTTCTTTAACCTGTCTCCTCCCCTTCATCTACACTGATTGAAGTGGATTTAACAAGTTAACTGGTCAGTCTATGTCATTGAAAGGTGTTCATGTTTTGTACACTCAGTGTATATTCTACTTTGCATTATCACTGGATAACCAGCTCTGCTTTAGAATAGGGTGTTGGCCATTGGGAACCTCAAGTCTAGACTGTGCAACACTATTCAATCCACATTTTTTCAGCTTTCTCTCTCTATCTCTCTCTCTCTCCTTACCCTGTCTCTCTTCCTACTTGCCCTCTCTTTCTATCCCTCCTTACCTTCGATCAATGACAGACCTCTAAAAGCTTGTGTTCTGTCAAATGTCTGCTGGTATTTCTGTCAGACATTCTCTAGCTGGTGTAACTACTTAGTGAGGGACCAGAGATAAACATTACACTAGACACTAGGCTCTGGTTAGCATGGTGACTGATATCATACCCCTAAACAATATTGTGTTTAGCCTGTGGATATCTGAGGTCTGTTTAATCATAAGAGTGTGATTCTAATGAACTCTTCTGACATTATGTCAGAAGGTGGTGTGTGTGTGTGTGTGAGAGAGAGAGACAGAGAGAGACAGAGATAGCGAGAGAAAGAGAGAGAAAGCAGTGAGAGTCTTTGAGACCCTAACCCCCAGTACCCAGTGGACGTCCCTTTGTGTGTGTGTGTGTGTGTATGCGTGCGTGCGTGATTCTAGACGTCCTTCTCCAGACGGTATTTAGTCAGGAGTGTATCAGCTGCTGACATTTAGATAAATGCCTGCCCTCCGGAGCAGGCCTGCCCTTTCTGCTTCACTCAGAGCAGGGAGACCAGCACACCATCAATCCCCTGTGTGTGTGAGTGTGTGTTGGGTGGGTGTGTGTGAGCATTAGAAAATGTGTGTGTGGGTGGGTGTATTCAATGTACAGCTTCTCTTGCTCTGTATGAAAGTGTGTGTTAAGGAGCTAACGTTGAACGCAAAGTTGCTGTGTGTGAGTGTGTGTGTGTGCACATTCGTGCGTACGTGGGTCTAAGTGTGTGTGTTTACCTGAACCCTACAATGGGGCACTCTTTACAGATGTTACACTTGGCCTGGTGCTTGGCGGTCTCAGCAGCCGCCACTCTGTGTAGCACAGGAAGCCATACCATAGACTGGGGCTCCAGCCTCATCCAATCAACAAACTGCCTGGGCTCCAGCTCCACCTTATTGGTCACCTGGACAGGAAGAGGAAAGAAGAAATGCGGGTGTCAAATCAAAGTCAATTCAACTACTAGGCTGCGTCCGAAATGGCACGCTATTCCTTAAATAAAGTGCACTACTTTTGACCAGGGCCCATATCAAAAGTAGTTCACTATACCAGAGAGGAAGAGACAAAGTGAGAGGGTTTACTCCGCCCAGAATCTGTCCATGTTAAGCAGGTCATTAATTACTAAGTGAGGAGTTTTTGTATGGGTGGAATGAGAGATTGTCGAATTTATTCAAGATGAAAATTAATTGCTATTTTGATACGTGAGGCTTATTTGATCTAACAGAAGTTTTGAAGTTTCGTAATTCTTCGGTTGTTACGAGTGTACTGATATAAGTGTGATGCACGTGACATCCCGGCAACAAAAAATAAATAAATAAATGTTTTAAAGGAACTCAGTCCGGCTTTAAACTTACTCTTGAAAGTTGTTATAGTAGAATGCACAAGGTAATGCATCATCAGTTCCTCTTGTCATGTAAGTCATTGCATACCTTAGAGAGCTATTTATAACTTGTCAGAAATGTCCAGATCAACTAGCCCATGTCAGCTAACGTTTTTTTAGCAAGGGATTTTAGCCCATAGATTTAGTTGTAATTTTTTAGTCACTCAAATATCACATGAATACACATCAGACATGGAGAATTTATAGAAGTGCAAGAACATGTGCTTTAAAATGGCAAGATTTTCATGGCACCCCATGACAACATTTGTAGAATTGCAGGAAATAAGCTTTAAACCTACAAAATTCTCTCCACCAACAAGATGTGTGTGAACAGTTTGTGTCATGAACTGTGTTTGTGCCCATAGAAATAGACGGCGCGGGATGTTCCCCAATGCTGGAAAGGGGGCCCGTGTGAAAAAGTTTAGGAACCTATAGTGGGTATTAAATCCCTTTACACCTCAAGACGGCTGCTGTACAAAACACAGCCCACACATCTGACCTTTCAGTTGCCACGGCTACCCACAAAGGTCATTGAGTAAACATTCTGAGAGGGAACTCTTGGGACTCGAGGAAGAAATTGTCCACAGGTCACAACATGCTCGCATGCACACACACTGCAAACACGCACTGAGAATCAACATGGCTTGGGTCAAAGAGGGGAATGTTGAAAACCTATCCCTGTGTGTGTGTGTGTCTGTTCTGTGACCTCTAGCTCTGTTAGGGCTAAATGTCAGATAGAAGTCATAGAACCCTGAGATCACACACACAGACAGATGGAGACATGAAGAACCAGCTCTGGAGTGTCAAGGCATAGAGCCAGAGAGCAGACACCTCCACCTATACTTCCCTAAATCTTCCTCCCTCTCTTCTCTTCCTCTCTCCTCCACCTGTCTCCCTCCCCTCCTGTCCCCTCACATCGTCTAGGTGGCAGAGTTACGGCAGTTACAGATCAATTACCCCTTGGAGGGAGGAGGATGGATGGATGGCGAAAGGGAGTGAGGAGTGAGGTTGAGGACCGTAAAACAGGCCGTATTTATGGGCCCCCACCTCGTTCATTACTGCCCCATTAAACCAAATGTGTGGGTGACTGCTCTGCACTTTCTGGCTGATACAGGGAGGTCAGTCATCAGTCAACCATCAACCGTCTGCCTGTAATGCATTAGGAATTGTGCCGTGAATATCACTCGTCTCCCGAGTGGCGCAGTGGTCTAAGGCACTGCATCGCAGTGCTAGCTGTGCCACTAGAGATCCTGGTTCGAATCCAGGCTCTGCTGTAGCCGGCCGCAACCGGGAGACCAATGGGGCGGCGCACAATTGGCCCAGCGTCGTCCAGGGTAGGGGAGGGAATGGCCGGCAGGGAGGTAGCTCAGTTGGTAAAGCATGGCGTTTGCAACGCCAGGGTTGTGGGTTCGATTCCCATGGGGTATGAAAATTAAAAAGAATAATGTATGCACTAACTGTAAGTCGCTCTGGATAAGAGCGTCTGCTAAATGACGTAAATGTAAATGTAATGGTGGTGTGGATGTGTGTGTTAGTGTATGTGTGTGTGTGTATGTGTGTGTTAATGTTAATGGACTCCCGAGTGGCGCAGCGGTCTAAGGCACTGCATCTCAGTGCTTGAGGCGTCACTACAGACCCCCTGGTTCGATTCCAGGCTGTATCACAACCGGCTGTGATTGGGAGTCCCATAGGGCAGCGCACGATTGGCCCAGCGTCGTCCCGGTTTGGCCGGTGTAGGCCATCAATAAGAATTTGTTCTTAACTGACTTGCCTAGTTAAATAAAAAAATATATTTAAAAAATGTATGTGTGTGTGAAATGGGGGGAGATAAAGGAAAGAGAAGGTTGTAGGTAGATAAGAGTGGTGAAGCGACAGGAGAAGGGACTGTAAAGACAGGTTGGTAGTGGCTCCTGTTAAACTGTTAAACTCTGTGTGACATTCCCAATGTCAGCCGAGCTCCATCACCATGCTATTTTAGGAGCCCGAGTGGCGAAATCAGGGAAATTTACTGCTTCCTAATTTAATGCCGCCACTGAATTTATGACTGACGAAACACGAGTCAGGGAAAATAGAAAAATGCAATGTGAACCCAAGGACAGGGACCAGCCAACCTTGCATTTGAACGTTCATAGTTGGCCATATTGGTTATAGTGGCTATAGTGACAACGTTATGGTACTTTCAACCGCAATAATACAAGGTGTGTGTGTGTCAATAAACACAATGTGTTGCTGTGTGTGTGAACGCTTGTGTGTGTGTATACATACGTGCTGGAAGCAGCTCCGGACGCTGGGTTCAATGTTGCTCCCTCCGAAGGCGGCGACCTCTCCCAGCTGCCGTGGTATCTGGATGGCGTCGTGGAGCAGCAGACCCAGCTGTCTCTGGTCACACGTATCCCCCGACGACGCCACCTGACTGAACAGGTCTGGAGGAGAGAGAGAGAGAGAGAGAGAGAGAGAAGGGGAAGAGAGAAGGGGAGGGGGGGGTGAGACTACACAAATACAGTTTTTCATCCAAGCCTCCACTGTCACTCTTTATCAGTGAGTATGTTGTATGAGTCAGCGTGTTGTGTGTGTGTATTAATAGCCCTATGTGGGTAGTCATCTATCAGAGCTCAGGGAGGAGAAGATAGAGTAGAGGAGTCCTGGTGAGCTGAGCAACCCTGTCAGAATACAACCCAGAGGAATCGACAGTCCCGCCCTCCCTCTCTCCCGCCCTCCCTCTCTCCCGCCCTCCCTCTCTCCCGCCCTCCCTCTCGCTCTTCCCCTCCCTCTATCCCTATTTTACCCTCTGTCTCTGTAATCGCTTATCTCCTCAACTATCACAGGAGAGCAATCAATTCCCCATCAACCCCTGCTCTGAGGGTATGACAGGGCATCTGCCCATCGTTGAGAAGGGAAACCTCTCGTCTAGACGTACACACACTATATTTTTGTTTAAGTCGTAAAACAAAACAAAACCAAAATTGAATGCAACAGCTCAGTTGATTCTTGTCAGGGCTCTTTCTGCCTTGTTACTCACAGATAGGATAAAGAGAGAGAGAGAGAGAGAGAGAGAGAGAGAGACAAACATTGATGAACTCCCATATCTGTTAGGCCAAATACTGCAGTGTGCAGTCACAGCAGCAAGATTTGTGGCCTGTTGCCATGAGAAAAGGGCAACCAGTGGAGCACAAACAACATTGTTTACTTCAATTAGGGGAGGGGTGGTAAGGTTAGGGGGAAATAATAAAGGAAAAAAAATATATATATATATATATTATATATACATTTACAAAATATATATTGGAAATGATGCAGACAATTACATTGATGGAAGCCACAATCTATCTGCAATATTAAAGCTGATCGACCCCCCCAAAAAATACAAAATACAAATTATACAACATTGTAAATACAACCTAAATGTATCTGTTTATTTATTTTCTCTTTCATACTTCAACTACTTGCACATTGTTACAACACTGTACATAATATAACATTTGAAATGTCTGTATTCTTTAAAAACTTTTGTGGGTGTAATGTTGACTAATGTTTCCCTTGTTTATTTCTCTTTAGTTTATTGTCTATACCATTTGCTTTGGCAATGTAAACATATGTTTCCCATGCCAATAAAGCCCTTTGAATTGAATTGAGAGATCGAGAGAGCGAGAGAGAGAGCTGGAGAGAGCGAGAAAAGACAGGGATGCAGTATAGCCGGCAAGAACGATTGAGAGAGAGAAAGAAGACAGTAGAGAGTGAGAAAGGCGATCGAGAGCGGGGGGGTGGGGTGTGACTCGCCTATCTGCCTGGTGATGTCTTTGATCTCTGTGTGAGACCCTGCCTTGATGTCAGCTCTCCTTAAGTGGAGTGGTAATGGCGATTCTATGATACCGTGCATGTGTGTGTGCGTGCATGCAAGTGTCTGCATGTGCACAAACCAGCCTTGATGTCAGCTTGCATTAAGTTAAGTAACTATGGCTGTTCTTTCAATACTCTCTGTGTGTGTGTGTTTGTGAACCTGCCTCCACGTCTCCTTGAGTAGCGATGGCAGTTCTTCGATAGTGCACTTCCCTAGAGTATGAGCCGGGCATACTTATTCAACCATGAGCAGCAATGCGTATCAGCTTCATAAGCCTTTATAGCCACTACGTAGGACATCGTTGTCATGAAACTCCAAATCATATGAGCCCCAGACTTTCTTAATATTTCTACTCTGACTCAAACGTCCTGCCCTACAATTATAATTGATATATACACAAGGTATCAAATTGAGAGTCAAATTGCTATGTAGCTGGGTTCTATTTTGCAGTGGTGGATTGTGCTACTGGTGATTTAGTGAGTTGCTGTGGATGGGTGTCTGGGCCTGACAACCAATGTGACCCTAAACGAGAGGGACTCGCCCAACCATGCTTGATCTCTTTTTGAGACTAATAGAAATTGCCAGTGGAACGAATAGGCTCAGGGACAGACTCCACGTCACAGGAGGGGTAGAGAAGGAAACTATGGAGGGAGAGGACAGAGAGAGGAAAGGTAGAGAGGGAGAGGGAAGAGATAGAAGGGGAGAACAGAGCGAGAGGAGAAAATGAGAGGACCAAGGGAACAAAGTGAGGACAGAACGCATGTTTTCTGAAACGACAAAGCGTACTCCCCGAGTGCAGCAGCCCTAGCCACATCCCTAAGTCCCGTGCAATGAAACAAAATAAATAAATACAATAAAATACAAAACAAATGGGAGGTCTCACATCCAATTAGATGGGCCATTCACTGGCGTCCTCTGACACGGTGCAGCCGATCGGCACCCTGGGTAACTGAGCTGGGATTACAGCCTGGCATTGGGGCTGTTCTCAATTCACCTCAGTGTGTGTGTGTGTGTCAAAGTGTGATTTAAGTCTATCAGAGATTGATAAAGTTGTATTATTTATTCACTTCAGTGTGTGAGTGTTTCTGTGTATGCTATGTGTGTGAAAGGGTTTTTGTGGGATGTTTGGTACTTACATTTGTATTTCTCCTCCAGATGGCCCTTGGAGAGCGAGAGCAATCCTATCTTCATGGACAGGACACGGATCTTCCCACTGCGTCCACTATAGAGGAAACACACACACAGTGGACCATTTTAATGTATTTTTTTTACGAGAGAAAATGACTTCTACAAGGTGTGTGTGTGTGTGTTTGTGTGTGTCCACGTACGTGTCATATACATTGAGAAGCCAGTTGAGACACATGTCGACACACAGCGGAACATTGACCAGGTCCTTGTACTGCTGCTCCAGCCCATCGTAGATGGACGTCAGACAGTTAATGACGTCAGGCACCGTCAGCAGCTGGGCATTCTGGGTAAGCTTGTGCTGCTCGAAGGTGCTCTGGGCCACATTCAGATCCAACAGATCCACTGGAGGGAGGGAGGGAGGGACTTTTAGATTTTTCATAGTTGTTTACTGAGACCACTCAATGGCAACAAAGAACATTCCAAAATGTCGAAGAGCAGTGGAAACTGCCACAGCAAATGACAAAAGGCTGTAATGACAACACGGCCACAGACAGGATATGAGGTGACTGTAGAGTAGACGGTGGTGTGACACCGGGGCAGCAGGCCAACCAATTTATGTTACAGATACTGGAGACACGGCGCAGAGTTAACCTAATTAGCAGTTTAAGGGGAATCCTGCTGTGCGAGTGTGTGGGAGATACACACAGACACACACATCTCAGTGGGGGATCATGAAGGAAAAACAAAACACCTGCTAACGGGAAGGAGTTTGAGGAATATATAGAGACTTTTTTCCTCTCTCTTTCCTCCCTCTCTCTCTCTATTGCTTTCTCTCTCCTCCCCCTCTCTCTCCTTCCCTTCCTCCCTCCCTCATTCTATAATAACTAATAAATACAGATCTGTGTCTGTGCTTTAGACTTCAGGCTTTGACTTGTAATCTAATGGGTGAAATTGAATCTGAACGCCCTCAGTCCAAATCACTCAGACGTACAAGGAGCTCTCATCTCATCATCACAAGCTAATGCAATATAATATTAAAACCCAAAACGCCCGAATCATCTAAACTCATTAACACCCACACTAACTCATAACGACACACACACACTCTCTCTCACTGCCCCCTACTCTCAGCACGACAAACCCACTCTACCCTCTACCACAGAACCACAGAAATAACAAAGTGAAGCAGTAAAGTTTGGAGCTCTCTAAATAACAGTATAAACTGGGTGGTTCGATCCCTGAATGCTGATTGGCTGACAGCCGTGGTATACCACGGGTATGACAAAACATTTATTTTTACTGTTCTAATTATGTTGGTAACCAGTTTATAATAGCAATAAGGCACCTCTGGGGTTTATGGTATATGGCCAATATACCACGGCTAAGGCCTGTATCCAGGCACTCCGCGTTGCGTCGTATATAAGAACTTATCCATGGTATTTTGGCCATATACCACACCCCACCAGCATTACTGCTTAAGTAACACCTGGGTAATTATGATAGAGAGCCTGGCTAAGTACCAGCAGCAAGGTATAGTAATACCCAGAGGAACAGGTGACAATTTCTCTGCACAAACCGTCAGCAGCCAACAGGGAATAACTAACACAATGATAGCTTTAGCCAGCTGGTTATTGTAGAATACAATGTATTCCCTTTTGGGATGAAACACACAGCGGCACAGGTGGAATCTCAACAAAACAAAATTATGTACACGCATACAGGTACACACAAACTCAATCGCATACCTGGTTGCACACACACACACGCGTGTGTGTCAGTGTGTGTGTGTGCGTGCGTGCAGGGAAAAGGAAACTTACAGCACAGTGCTTTCTGTAGCCTACGGCTCTTCATGGCTGTTCTGTAAGCGGAAAATCTCACGTTGTTTAGGTCGGCTAAAAGGAAAGAGAGAAAGATAGAAAGAGAGAGAGAGGAAAAACAGAGGGATGTAATCACTCATACAGAATGGATAATTGCGGTCTGACATGAAATAATGATGTCAAACTGGAAACCTGTTGAAAAGACGTGCTGTAGTGTAATTTCTATGTAGTCACACGGGGAGGGCTGGAAATGGCTGGTAATTGGGTTAGTTAGACCTCTCTCAGAGGAGCTGAGTCATATTTGTTGAATGTTGGCCTTTAGGAAATGTTCTCAGAGTTCCACAGCTTATTACTGATCCATCTGCTCATTAAAGAACAGTCACACTCGCCACCGCAACGGGACCCATACATAAAAATTGATGTTACAGTCAGTGTGTGTGTGTGTGTGTGTGTAAGCGAGACAGCAAGATACTGTGTGAAGGAGAGCATGAGAGTGAGCTTTGCAGTTACTGCGTGGTGTCATATTTGAGTGAAAGTGAATGTTTTGTGATTATATGACTGGAGTCTGTCTGTGTGTCTGTGTGTCTGTCTGTGTGTCTGTCTGTCTGTCTGTCTGTCTGTCTGTCTGTCTGTCTGTCTGTCTGTCTGTCTGTCTGTCTGCCTGTCTGTCTGCCTGCCTGTCTGTCTGTCTGTCTGTCTGTGTGTCTGTGTGTCTGTGTGTCTGTCTGTCTGTCTGTCTGTGTGTCTGTTTCATACCAAGTGACTGGTAGAGCTCTGTCATCTTTGGATGGTCCCAGCAGGTAGTCTGAGTCTGGTGGCTGGAAGACAACAGGGGATAACGATAAGGCTTTTGTCACACACAGACACAGACAGACACACACACACACACACATACACACTCACACAGAGACAGACAGACAGACAGATCAATTGCTCTGCCTTGTCTACCGGTTTTCTTATCGGCTCAATAATAGAGGCACATGTATACAAATCCAAAACTTGGATCTGATTGTGATTCCCAAAGCATACAAATCATCTAGGAGGCCTTCAGAGTGACGCACAAGGACACACACACACACACCCCTCATCTCCGCAGGCCTCCTCTCAGTACGGTACGTAGCACACACAGCCAGGCTCCCTGGAGCTACGAGGGGGACGTGTTGATGTCTCGTCTCCATCCTGTTTACATTTCAGCTTCTGAGAAATGCCGCCAGGTGCGGAGCGCACAGACAAAACAGCCCAAATCAACAAGAACCACATTTTAAAATTAAAATTTTTTTTTTTTTTTACTTGAATCTGATCAAGCAGCGTCGTGCTGAGTTTAGTACTCCAGAAGACAGCATCAGGTGTGGGGTTTGTGTCCGTCTGTCTACTGCCCGTCTTCACCTGATCAGGGAACTGATTTATATTTTAGTGATTCTCTGCTTCTGCGAAATATTCCTTCCTGTACCCACACTGATATCAAGGGAATGGGATGTTTGGGTGTGGGGTAAGAATTTGACATCTATTCTGTTGTGAATGCCAGTGTCTCTGTGATTAGGTTGTCATAGCGAGACTGTCTCCACAGAGAGAGAGATAGAGAGTTGGAGAGAGAGAGAGAGAGAGAGAGATGGAAGGGAGAGAGAGAAAATAAAGAGATAAAGAGAGCGTGAGAGAAGACAGGCTATCCAGTGAAGTGAAGTGCTGACAGTAGAACACAGGGGAGACTACAGAAGCCATCAGCATGTGTTCATCCCTATTCATCATGCTCTGAAATGGCTGACACTTTCACACCTTCCGCGCATTGCAAATATGACTAGAGCGCCCAGCTCAGGGTTTCTTTTTTTAGCTGTGCTATTTGAGACAAGGGCCGATTCAATCATGGCCGGCCGGATATTATTGTGTGCCAGTGAGGATTTGGACACCAAGCCGTCAGAAATTAATTCATATCTCCTCTTGTTCGAACAGCTTGAGGATTTAGCCACGGTTGTGGCATAAGCGTGTACACACACACCCAAGCACATATGCGCATGCACGCACGAACACGCACAAACACGCACGAAAAAACACACACACACACACACACACACACACACACCTAGGCTATGCAAGCGTGCACATGACTATCCATCAGTGCCAACAGCAGTCGGAGTAAACACAATAACGGTTGCCATTCAACTAAGTCTGTAGGAGGAACATCAAAGAGAAGCCAGCCTTAGCCCCAAAGATGAAACACAAGGAGTTGACTGTGATTTGGTAACCCGCTGGAGTCTTTCCACTATGTTTTCAGTGCAAAGCAGCAGAATGGCAATGACAAACACAGGCTCAATCAACAAATGGATTACACTAGCTGTCTACTACTACCGCTGGATCTGGATCGGCAGCTTAGGCCTGTCATAATGAAGACATCCCACAGAGTTGGCAGGTTCTTTCCTCAATCATCCCTTCTTTCTCCCTCTGTCGTCCATCCTAATTTATCCTCAGAAACTCCCAAGTTTAAGGTTACCTGTGGTAACCATTGCAAGGACAGAGCTGTGATGCATGTACACGTGTGTTAAGGCTTGAAGATCACACATACATTCATGTCCCAGAACGTGAAAGAGATGGTTTGGCACCAAGCTCAGGGTTATAGAATCTCTCTGATTTGAAGAACCACACAGAGATCAAAGTCCCTCTTCTTTAACAAGGAGTTTAGGTTGACTGTTCTAAAGCTACTGCCTGAGGGGACCAAAGTAGCTTGGTAGTGCCATATAGAATACTGCATTCATTCTCAAACCCGGTTTGAGATTTAGGGTTTTTCATGTTGGCACCAATGGTTCCGAGTCAATTACATTTACTTAGAATGCCTATTAGAAGTTAATTGTTGTGGAATATCTGGTGCAAAGATGGAGCTTAGAAGAGCTTTGGGTAAAGAGCTCAGACAGGGACTCAGAGAGCAGCTCCACAGCCTGTCCTCAGCAGGGAGTGAGTGAGTGATATACTGTAGAGAGCACAGTGAGCCTGGAGATGAATCCGGTTTGAGCATAAATAGATGCAGTACTTGACATTTCCCTGTAAACATCATTATAAAACTGGTTGTTTGGATCAGGGACGCTGATTGGACGAGCAGGGTTCCAAGCGGTGCTGTTTTGGCCATCACAGACACACCTATGCCTGCTAATAGTTCCATCTGAAAATTATTACTGCGCCTCCATAAGAATATCATGTTCATGTTACTGTCCGAATCATCCGTTTTATTTATCTCAACTCGTGCATTATTTCCCCTTGCTTCCAGCCTAGCATTTAGTTTGGTACAGCGGGGGTTAATATAAGCCTCGACTTCTGCCTGTCTGACCTCGGAAACAATGTATAACTTTAGAACTCCGATCTCTGTAGTACCATATATAGAGTGAACGGCGCCCAGACGAGACGAGTCAACTTTTTCTGTGCTATCGCATCGGGCCGAACAAGGCCATTTACCTGTGACTGTATTCATGATACAGCACTGCCTCTTGTGCCTTATTGCTTAATTAAATGACATCTCTGAGTAAACATAATTAAAACGGGACTCTGGGATAGAATACTGCATAAAACCCAGGAAATTCTGAATTTTATGTAACTAATAAGCTACTCTGAAGTGATGTTTATGAGAACTTGTGGCCAAGCTGTAGCAGAGAAGTAAATTACTACATTCTTATTCATATTAAATTATTAGAAATTCTCATTCCTAATTCTACGGGTGTGAATAGAATGACAGAGGGGACTCTGCTACTCTACTTTTCCCTGGCTCCAGGTTGCCTCGGATACAGGCAGCATAATTACAGCGTTTAGAATAATCTGCATAATGACCACTTCCCCTGGCATTTCCTGTTTGGCTTGGCTACTTCCTCCTCATCACAAACCAGACCAGATGATTACAGGAGATAAAGGATGCATCTTTTTTCACAGCACTAGATTATCCCAGCAGGCCAGTGTACTGATGTATCGTTTCTGAACATTATGTTGAATTGACATTAACCAACTTGCTTCACCGTAGGGATGGTGCCAGGTTTCCTCCAGACATGACGCTTGGCATTGAGGCCAAAGAGTTAAATCTTGTTTCTCATGGTCTGAGAGTCCTTTAGGTGCCTTTTGGCAAACTCCAAGCAGGCTGTCATGTGCCCTTTACTGAGGAGTGGCTTACGTCTGGCCACTCTACCATAAAGGCCTGATTGGTGGAGTGCTGCAGAGATGGTTGTCCTTCTGGAAGGTTCTCCCATCTCCACAGAGGAACTCTGCAGCTCTGTCAGAGCGACCATCGGGTTCTTGTTCACCTCCCTGACCAAGGCCCTTCTCCCCCGATTGCTTGGCTGGGCGGCCAGCTCTAGGAAGAGTCTTGGTGGTTATAAACTTCTTCCATCTAAGAATGATGGAGGCCATTGTGTTCTTGGGGACCTTCAATGCTGCAGACATTTTTTGGTACCCATCCCCAGATCTGTGCCTCGACAAAATCCTGTCTCGGAGCTCTACGGACAATTCCTTCGACCTCATGGCTTGGTTTTTGCTCTGACATGCAACTGTGGGACCTTATATAGACAGGTGTGTGCCTTTCCAAATCATGTCCAATCAATTGAATTTACCACAGGTGGACTACAATGAAGTTCAATGGAAACAGGATGCCCCTAGCTCAATTTCAAGTCTCATAGCAAAGGGTCTGAATACTTATATAAATAAGGTATTTCAGTTTTTAATTTTTTATAAATTTGCGAACATTTCTACAAAACTGTTTTCGCTTTGTCATTATAGGGTATTGTGTGTAGATTGATGAGGACATTTTTTTATTTAATCCATTTTAGAATAAGGCTGCAACGTAACAACATGTGGAAAAAGGGAAGGAGTCTGAATACTTTCCGAATGCACTGTATGTATACAGTATATAAAAATGGGATGCAATGCAAATGTAAATGCCCAAAAACCCAACATCCAGGGCAGTCAACCCAAAAATTGGAATGAAAGGTGTAGGCAGTGAGTGTCAGTTTATGGAAAGCTAGGCAAAACACTGAGCTATGCTTGGGGAAGTGACGCTTCATCAACTCCCAGAGACAGAGTCACAGAGACATAGACACGCAAGTCAGTGTGGATGGATAGCAGCATATTTTTTCCTGAGGTGGACTATGTCTCTGTCATGCAGGACACGTTCATGAATAATCATGAGCAGTCGATGACTGATTACATTTTAAAATATAAGGGAAATAGAATTAGGGAAATATCTGCGACTCAGAGACACTTTTCCTGCCTCTTCCGTGACAGTGTTCTTCCCCTCAAAACTTTATTATCATTTTTTCTCTCCTCTTCTACTCTGCATTTGAGAGACGTTTCAACCCTTTGAATTGTAGCAACTTAATTAAAGTAATTTGATGAGTCAATGCGGCCGCAAACACAACAAAGACATCCTGACGGGCACAGAGGCACGAGCACACACACACAAACCCACCCAACCATTTTTTTTTTGTTACATTTTAGTCATTTAGCAGACACTCTTATCCAGAGCGACTCACAGTAGTGAGTGCATACATTTTCTTACTGGTCCCCCGTGGGAATCTAACCCACAACCCTGGCGTTGCAAGCTGAGCCACAACTGAACCCCCCCCCCCCCCCCCACACACACCACAGAGTTTGATGGGAAGCTTCAAGCTAGCTCTTATGTTGGCAGAAGAGAGTGGCAGTCCAATTTCTCACCCTGACAGCGTTCTAGACATCTGATCCCACTTAAATGCTAGAGGTCAGCTGGGGGTCAACTGGGGTGGAGAGCAGCGGGTGGCGAGGCTTCTGTGTCTAGCCGTTTGATTCACCAGTGTGTCCCTGTTCCCATGGAAGGGGGGGTAGCACAGAGGCCTTTGTGCGGTCGGGCGGACGGAAATAGGATGAGCTAGAGAGAGAGGCGAGTGGGGGGGGGGGGGGTTGGGGGGGGCAGAGCCTAATGAATGTGTCAAAGCCTGATGTTGGAGTCACAGTAATGTCACTGCACTGTAAGTGACCTACGATTAGCCCTGTGAAGGCTGTGGCAAAGTTTTGAATTCCCTCAGAGTGGTCAGGGAGGGCAGTCATAGAGATTTGAGAGATTTTTTAATCACAATAGTGCAAATAGCTCAGTATTGTAGCTCCCGGCGGTGGCTCCATTTGAATGAGATGAAAGCCTCACAGTGTTGGAGATGGAGGGAGGCTTTCAATAGGCTGATTTCCCTTTCTTTCTTCCCTTCTTAAAGGGTCATTCAGGATGAATGTGAGTGGGGCTCAACTAAACCTGTGGTGGAGTTGCTGTGCTACGTAATACAGAGGCAAGGAAGGGACATATGGCGTGTATGGCATGCATGTGTGTGTGTGTGTGTGTGTGTGTGTGTGTGTGTGTGTGTGTGTGTGTGTGTGTGGGGGGGAAGGCCCGGAGTTCAATGGGCAGCCACTAGAGGAGGGCCAACACCTGTGATCACAGACAGCTGTTGTTGATTCCAGAGTTCTAAACCTGTCCTCTTCTCTCCTCCCAGCCTCTCTCACCCTTTCATCTCTGATCCCTTCCAGTGCAAAGCTCCTGGGGTAAACAAACTTCAGCTGTTCACAGGGACGTCTCCCTCTCTCACTCAGTAGCTCTCTCATCCATCTCGCTTTCACCACACTATCTACCATAAAAAAAAGCCACAGAAAAGAGAAGGAGGATAAAACAACGCAGAAAAAGAGAGAGCAAAAAAGAGAGACGAGGAGAGCGAGGAGAGAGAGAGAGAGAGAGCGAGAGAGAGAAGCGAGAGAGCAGAGAGACAGAGAGAGAGAGAGAGAGCGAGAGAGAGAGAGAAGAGAGAGAGATAGCAGCGAGAGAGAGAGAGATCATATAGCTCATATATCTCTCGTCTCTCTCTCTCTCTCTCTCTCTCTCTCTCTCTCTCTCTCTCTCTCTCTCTCTCTCTCTCAAAGCCATCTTGAGTGGCTATCAGCACAAACCTATCTCTCCCCCTCTGCCTTTTAAATGGACACATTGTCTGCTGCTTAGCTTGACTGTGAATGTATTACAATGGGCAATGTGATACCTATCTTAAGCTGCAAAACCTCTGCTATGGACCTACCATAATGGAGTCCATGAATATCTAGCTAAATGAATGAGCAACAGTTGACATGACACCTAAAATGCAATATTACAACAGTGGAAACTTCCAAGAACTGAATCCAACCTTTGAAAGAAACCTTTCCACTGGAAAGACTGAGTATGAATAGAATCACGCACACCCATACACACACACACAAGTAAAACCAACCGCACATGCGTATATAAAAACACACACACAGCCCTTTCAACCACTGTTATGCAAATAGTTACCATAAAATAAGCATAAAGAAAGTGATTCGTCTAGCATACATAAGCAGCATGTTACCAGTCAGTACAGTAGAACTCACTTGATGTAGTATGGAACCTTATTCTGAGACACTGCTCTCTGCCACGGGAGCTGCACAGAGGCTGTGGATAAAAAGAAGATGGAAAAAAATATACAATGTAAATATAAAAACAGCGTTATTTGCAGCGCAATAATCTTTTTAGTCTCCCGAGTTGATTGCTTCTGCAAATATCCACTAATAGTAACATAATGTAATGGGCTTCTTGAACAAATAAGATTCCCACTGTGCATGAAATTAAAAAAGTAATGTGCGTAACTATTGGACAGTTGGAGCGAGTTAAGACGGCTATATCTGTAATAATAGCCGTTTAATACATTCTAATGGTTATTCTTAGACTTCACAGATAAAGAGCAGAACAAACAGAAAGAAGGAAAGCAGATGAGTTATCTGATCTTCAAAGCCCAAACACAACCAACAGACTGACAGGACATTAAATAAAAGCTGTCAAATGTGATGACATAAGACTTTACGAGCTGTCGTGAGCCATTCACAGAGAGGAACACGAGCTGTCACAAGCCATTCACAGAGAGGCCTTTCGCTCCCCTGTATACGCCTAACCTACACACACTGCCTGCATATTAGCTGTATGGAAACAATGGATGAATGGAGGGGTAGATAGAGGGATAGATGGAGGGATGGATGGATGGAGGGTCAATGCTCATGGATAGATGGATGGATGGAAGGATGGACGGACAGACAGACACTTTGTTGATCCCTTAGGGGAAACCTAGTTATTAAAATACTATAAGAAGGAATGGTAGATTATATCTACTGTATGAGAGATGAAAGGGGAGCCAGAATGGCATCTTGTCTGGTACAGTAACTCAGCTGTCAGCACCACGCAGGTCTATGGACACGGAGCGGCTCAGTTTCCTCCCCATCCCACCCTGTTATCATCCCACAGCTGACATTTTGGATCCATGTCAAAGCCAAATGGGGTAGATAAAAGAGGGGTTGGATATGAGATGGAGAGGAAAGGGACATACAATTGAAGTCGGAAGTTTTACATACACCTTAGCTAAATACATTTAAACTCAGTTTTTCACAATTCCTGACATTTAATCCTAGTAAAAATTCCCTGTCTTAGGTCAGTTAGGATCACCACTTCATTTTAAGAATGTGAAATGTCAGAATAATAGTTGAGAGAATGATTTATTTCAGCTTTTTTTCTTACATCACATTCCCAGTGGGTCAGAAGTTTACATACACTCAATTAGTATTTGGTAGCATTGCCTTTAAATTGTTTAACTTGGGTCAAACGTTTCGGGCAGCTTTCCACAAGCTTCCCACAATAAGTTGGGTGAATTTTGGCCCATTCCTCCTGACAGAGCTGGTGTAACTGAGTCAGGTTTGAAGGCCTCCTTGCTCGCACATGCTTTTTCAGTTCTGCCCACACATTTTCTATAGGATTGAGGTCAGGGCTTTGTGATGGCCACTCCAATACCTTGACTTTGTTGTCCTTAAGCCATTTTGCCACAACTTTGGAAGTATGCTTGGGGTCATTGTCCATTTGGAAGACCCATTTGCGACCAAGCTTTAACTTCCTGACTGATGTCTTGAGATGTTGCTTCAATATATCCACATAATTTTCCTTCCTCATGATGCCATCTATTTTGTGAAGTGCATCAGTCCCTCCTGCAGCAAAGCACCCCCACAGCATGATGCTTCCGCCCCCGTGCTTCACGGTTGGGATGGTGTTCTTCGGCTTGCAAGCATTCCCCTTTTTCCTCCAAACATAACGATGGTCATTATGGCCAAACAGTTCTATTTTGTTTCATCAGACCAGAGGACATTTCTCCAAAAAGTACAATCTTTGTCCCCATGTGCAGTTGCAAACCATAGTCTGGCTTTTTTATGGCGGTTTTGGAGCAGTGGCTTCTTCCTTACTGAGCGGCCTTTCAGGTTATGTCAATATAGGACTCGTTTTACTGTGGATATAGATACTTTTGTACCTGTTTCCTCCAGCATCTTCACAAGGTCCTTTGCTGTTGTTCTGGGATTGATTTGCACTTTTCGCACCAAAGTACGTTCATCTCTAGGAGACAGAACACGTCTCCTTCCTGAGCGGTATGACGGCTGCGTGGTCCCATGGTGTTTATACTTGCGTACTATTGTTTGTACAGATGAACGTGGTACCTTCAGGCGTTTGGAAATTGCTCCCAAGGATGAACCAGACTTGTGGAGGTCTACCATCTTTTTTCTGAGGTCTTCTTGGCTGATTACTTTAGATTTTCCCATGATGTCAATCAAAGAGGCACTGAGTTTGAAGGTAGGCCTTGAAATACACCCACAGGTACACCTCCAATTGACTCAAATGATTTCAATTAGCCTATCAGAAGCTTATAAAGCCATGACATCATTTTCTGGAATTTTCCAAGCTGTTTAAAGGCACAGTCAACTTAGTGTATGTAAACTTCTGACCCACTGGAATTACAGATACAGTGAATTATAAGTGAAATAATCTGTCTGTAAACAATTGTTGGAAAAATTACTTGTGTCATGCACAAAGTAGATGTCCTAACCGACTTGCCAAAACTATAGTTTGTTAACAAGAAATTTGTGGAGTGGTTGAAAAACAAGTTTTAATGACTCCAACCTAAGTGTATGTAAACTTCCGACTTCAACTGTAGCAATGAAAAATAACATTCCTGTAGTGTATACTTCTTTGTAAATGGGGATGGAAGGAGGGAGAGGTAGAGTCTGGCTTTCTCTGTCTGTTCCTAATGTTCTCTCTCTCTGCCCTCTATCCCACCTCGTCTCTTCCCTACCTCCCTCCCTCCCTCCCTCATTCATTCTCTTCCTGGTTAATGACCACTCTGGTCTGAGAGGAGAATAACTAGAGGAAATCAGAGGAGAGTTGTAATTAAGCCTTGAATTATTCAAGAGTAAAGAACCTTATCGCCTGCAAATGGCCTGCTTGACTTTGTGTGTGTGTGTGTGTGTGTGAGGGCTGACTTCAAAACAACCCTGACAAAAAGAACAGCAAAACATACAGAAACCCCTCCCCCGTCATGGATAGGCTACCTCCAAGACATTCGTAGGCTGAATTACATAGCAAGGGCAGTAATTGGCTACTCACTGGAGAGGAAGTGCTGGGAGGATGGGCCAAAGTCTCTGTGGGCTTCCTGAAGGAGCTTCAGTCTCTCCTCAATGGCCACCTGCACACCAGAAAGAGGAGAGAGAGAGAGTTAGACACACACACACATCTGCACCCCGTCAGCTCTATATCGACCGGCCCAGCTGAGTGTGTATGTGTGTTTTGCTGAGTGTCCTCACTGTGAGCAGTGATTCAGTCATCCTCCCTACAGTGAGGAAATAAGGTTGTCTCTACATAGGGAACCAAGAGGCAGACACCAAATGGTTGGCTTCCACAATGTCATCATGCCCCAGTGAATCTCCATGGGGTGACTGCTGACTGGGGTCTGAGTCCTGCTGTGCTGTGTGCCCTTCTGTTTGATCAGATCAAAGTGGCTTCCTATCTCAATGGTCATCATCGACTCCAGCATGGTAATGCCAGGGGTGGGGGGTATGGAGAAGGAGCGGGATGGAATCTAAGATCTCTCCCTTTCTCTTGTCTCTTGTCTCTCTCTCTCTCACAGTTAGTCCTTGAAGAAGGCACAGTGATGCCGAAACGTTGGTGTTTTATCCAATAAACTACTGGGAGTTTATATATAGAGTGTGCGACTCTCTTTATTTATTTGTATTATTTTTATAGTTTTATTCACCGTTAGTCAGCACCTCTACACTAAATAATTGTCTCTGGGTGTGCGCCAGCTCATGCTTTTTATTAGACTTATCTCTCTCTCTCACAAACACAAACACGGTCAAGCCCACTCATACATGCAGTACAAACCCACAATGATTCAAACAGTATAGTGACAACTGAGCCTGAGGGGTGTACGAGTAGGGATCTAATCCCAGCCATCAGTAGGCTGGACCAGGACACAGATCACACAGTGTTAAAGCACTGGGACCTTGAGCAAGGACACCAACACCATAGAGAAGGGTTGGACTGACATATCTAAGGGCACATAAAAGGTTGAAGCTTTTAGGCATGACACCCATTGCCCACCTGTAAAAGGTTGAAGGTTTTAGGCGTGACACCCATTGCCCACCTGTAAAAGGTTGAAGGTTTTAGGTGTGACACCCATTGCCCACCTGTAAAAGGTTGAAGGTTTTAGGCGTGACACCGATTGCCCACCTGTAAAAGGTTGAGGGTTTTAGGCGTGACACCCATTGCCCACCTGTAAAAGGTTGAAGGTTTTAGGCGTGACACCCATTGCCCACCTGTAAAAGGGGGAAGGTTTTAGGCGTGACACCCATTGCCCACCTGTAGTAGTTTCCAGCGCATGTTGAGGTCATCCAGTTGTCTGGAGGAGATGGAGGACAGCTGGACATCCAGAGGAAGCCAGCTCACCAGACAGCTCGTTCACCACACGCATGTCCTGCCTCAGAGGGGACATCTCCTCCTTGAAGGTCTGGGACACACACACATGGGACACACAAACAAAATACTCAGATCAGTGTTTTGCTGTGGGCAGATGTACATTACATTATCAGTACAGTGTTTAGTCTTAATTGTGACATTGTCCTGATACTGTACATACTACAGTGCTGGGGTAATACCTGAGCCGATGGTGACAGGTTATTCATTTTTGGCCATTGACGTACTGTATGTACAGGCCAATTACTACCTACTAGTACCTACCAGCAAGTCCTTGTTGGCCCTAAATGTATTGTAGTGAATGTAAAAACACCTTTCCTCTCTCCCCCATTAATAAACCAGTAACTCTCCAGTCACCCCTCTCACCGTGGTCTTCGCTATGTGGTCCTGCAGTGAGTCTATGAGCAGGTCTCCTACAGGCTGCCAGCCAGCCTTGGTCTCCTCTGCCCTGGCTAGCCGCAGGTCCAGCTGGTCCATGTTGCTCTGTAGCTCCTGTAGCCTCTCTAAAGCCTTCTCTACCTGGCTCTGCCAGCCCCCCGCGTGGCCCTGCAGACGCTCCCAACGCTCCTGCACTTCCGCTGTCTGCTTCCTGATGGCCCTGGCCACACCCCGCGCCTTCTCCTCTGGAGTCAGGTGGGAGAGGGGGGAGAAGAGAGGGGGAGGGGGAGAGAGGGGAGAGAGGAGAGAGAGAGAGAGAGAGGAGAGGAAGATAGAAGAAGAAGGAGAGGAGAGCAGAACAACATCTGACTCCGAGGCGGACTGGCTTCCCAAAGGGGAGGAGGAGCGCGGAGGGGCCTAGAGAGGAGAGAGAGAGAGAGAGAGAGAGAGAGAGAGGACAAAGACTTGAACATCTTAAAAGGGGGAAGTTGGTTGTGGAATAAAAGCAAGCATTTCAACTTGAAGCGAGACATTCACTCTAAAGAGAACGACCAAATGTTGATCTTGTCTGCAGACCTGACATGTAAATCAGTGTGTCAGAGACCATCTAAATCTCAAACACCCTGATCTGAAGCATGCATGCAAGCACACACAGGCACACATTTTCTATTTTTTTATTTAACTTTTATTGAGACATATTGAGACCTAGGTCTCTTTTACAAATGCACCTTGTATATACAACATCATTATACACATTATACCCAAACTAAACAAAAAGGGAGTATCTACAGCGGGTCCGTCTGTCTGTCTATTTGTCAGTCTGCCAGAAATAGATAGCCACACACCCCAGACAGGACCAGCGTGGGAGCTGTCTGCTTTAATAATGAGAAGTTTGAAATGCAAACAAAGGCCAGGGAAACTCTGGGAGCGTTTGATTGGGTCTGAGAGGATCCTGAGACTAAGGTCTTCTCAGCCACTGGGTTCAGACATGACTAGAGGAGACAGAGGTGTCCCTGTTGTCACTGGTCTTTACTCTCTAAAGCATCTGAGCTGTCACAGGTTTTAGATCAGATATACCCTCTACAGCCACACACACACACTTCTGTGACAGCATCTGAGGTCATTTTAGGGTTGGTTTCAGATAAGTTTCACATTCTGATTTTACATGCACCAGAATGGAACCATCCTACCCATCACAGCTCTCAGAGCAGTTCTTAAATACTGATTCGACAAGAGGCCTTCGATAACTACATCAAAGAAGACACGGAAGGGCCAGATCACAGATCATCTCAGGGGTCTGCTACATTATTGAACATCCTGACTTGGTTAAAGAGGAAATGTGCTGATGTATAGTAGCAACGACTTCACTGTTTCATCTGCTTGGGCCGAGCAGCCTTTAGAGACAGAATTACTAATGGAATATGGTGCATATTTAGTGTTTGGGTGTATTCTAAGCATCATATCACACAACAAATAATCATCAAGTGGACTGGGGAACATCAGAGCTGCTTTTCAAGGTTGTGTGTGTAAGGTTGTGTGTGTGTGTGTGTGTGTGTGTGTGTGTGTGTGTCTGTGTCTGTGTCTGTGTATGTGTGTGTTCAGGCTAGGCAGTGACAGGAGACTCACCTGTTTTGGGCTGTAGGTTCTTGCGTGGTTCTCCCGGCCCCTCGATGGGCTGGTCAGCCAGGTACATGCGTGCCTGGTCCAGCGTACTGACCACAACATGCTCACGGTCCTTCAGCTCCGACCGCAAGGCCTGGGGAGAAACACAAACAGGAACTGGTCAATACATGGTATCTTTTTAACATGAATGTCTTACTCAAAATGTCTTACTCCTAACTTGAGATCCACAACTCATAAATTAGTTATTTCATAACTGTAAGAAAAGTTTGGATTCTGCCCGATTTGATCAAACAGCATTGTAGACTATATTAGTGAACTCAAGCAATAATGATGTAATTTTTATCTAAATGATAGGTACTGTAATGAATGTCTATATCTCTAGACGTTCAAATGCCTCAGTCGAAGTATAAGTGCCTGTATTGGAATCAGAGTTGACATCTCCCAGTACCATCAATGCTGTGAACTGTATGTGAACTCTGTATTTCCCTCGGTTCAGATTACTTTGATAGCCTATCCCCCACTGACCTACCATCTCCATATCAAACAAGTCAAACACTTCACTTACATTTCACTTTAATCAACTCCGCCTTTCATTCTAAAATCAGACATTTTACATTCAAAGGAACAGGGTCTGGACGCACACATAATCATACACACTCTCCTCGTCGTAAACAAAAATCTCATTCCGGTGACGGCAGCAATTTAGAACGTGCTCCCTGTCTGGCCTTCTCTCATTGAAAGGGAGAATGAGAGATTGAGAGGATAGAGAGAGAGGTAGCGAGAGAGAAGAATCGAGAGAAATGAAAACAGAGCATCGATCGAAGGCAGTAACGGCAGGTCAAATGAGACATTTCCCGGAGGTTAAAGTGAAATTATCTGAGTGATCCAGAATAAAGCGAGGCGTTCAACCAGCGCTGTTCACGACACAGCAGCCTGCAGTCTTCATCAGATGACTCACTAATGTCAAATCATATCACACACACTCTCTCTCTCTCTATCACACAAACACACACACACACACACACTCTGATTCGCTCTCTCCCTGCATTCTATTTCACTAACTCAAACTCACACTCTCTACTATCCTCTTTCTTTCTACCCCCACATCCTCCCTCTTTCTCACACACACACACGTGCATGGCACGCACGCACACACACACACACACACAATTAATCACTACAGGCCAGTTAGTCCAGTAAGGACTAGGGGTCCGTTTCTAAACGACCTCACTAACATTATTGCCAAAACATCCACTATGGGAGAGGAAGAGGAGGAAAGCAGGACAACATGTACCAGGGTAATTATTCTTGTTTTAATATAGCCAGGACCCCAGGGGGACTCTGATGCCTATCGGACTGTGTGATTGCTTTGTGAGAGGACGATGTTCGAGGGAAATGCTAAGAGGAACTTCATTAGATTGTGAGCCTTGCTTACATAAAGGCTTTTGGTTTTATCAGACAGGATGAGATGAGGAATACGAGGTAGCAGAATTTGCGAGGGTTCCATTTGTTACCGGCCCAAGTCCATTGAAGCGTATATGACAGCATGTTGGGTTGAGTGTAGTGTAGTAGTAGGATACATTTTGAACAGACATAAGGAAATACTTGCAGAACAGGAAACATTGATAGTTTTAGGAAACTTCATGTCATAAATTACATTTGAGAATATATATAATATTATTTTTCTTCATAATTAAAAACTCTCGGTAACCCAAAAAAGTCTGACAGACAGCGCCAATAAAGAACAATTCAATCTAACAGTATCTTCCGGAGTAACTTTAGTTCAGAAAGTCACCGTAACACTTAAGGACCCTGAGGAAAAACACTCGTAGTAGAAATGAAACACAAGCTGATGCATCCCCTTTCAAGAGAAAATAAAACAACGTTTCTCAGTTGCCAGGATGAGATAAGAGATTACGATCTATCTGAGGAGGAGAAGAGAGGAAAATCTAATTAAGCTTTATTTATACAGCACATTTCAGACATGGAATTCAATGTGCTTCACATGAAAAAACTAATAAAAACAATGAAAATAAAAACTTTAATATTCACTACACAACAAACATACTGTAAGATGATAAAAAACAAAAGAATAACAATAAAAACTGAACAACTAAAAAGCACACTAAGGAAAACCAAAGCTAAAAAGGTGTGTTTTAAGTTCTCTTAAATATGTCCACAGTTTCAGCCCCCCTCAGGTTCTCTAGCAGGTTATTCCAGAGGCTGGGGGCATAATAACTAAAGGCTGTCTCTCCATGCCTCTTAGTCCTAGGCTTTGGGATAGTTAAAAGGCCAGTGCCAGAGGACCTGAGGGACCTACTGGGTACATAACTTAAAAGCATGTCTGACATGTATTGGGGTGCACAATTGTGGATTGATTTAAAAACCAATAGAATAATCTTACAATTAATTCTAAAACTCACAGGCAGCCAGTGCAGAGACCTTAAAACCGGTGTAATATGTGCTCTCCATCTGGTCTTGGTCAGTACCCGTACTGCAGCATTCTGTATGTTTTGCAGTTGACCAATGGCTTTCTTTGGTAGACCAGACAGGAGAGCATTACAGTAGTCAATCCTGCTTATAATAAAAGCATGGATGAGTCTCTCTGTATCAACCTGAGAGAAAAACTGACACACCTTGGCAATGTTCCTCAGGTGGTAAAAAGCTATTTTGGTCACATTCCTAATGTGTGATTTGAAAATGAGTTCAGAATCTAAAATAACGCCTAGGTTTTTTTCATGGTGTTTTATCTTTATTTCCTGTGAATTTAAAATGTGTGGCTAGATTATCTTTCTGTGCTTTGGCTCCAACAATAAGTATCTCAGTCTTGTCTTGATTTAGCTGGAGAAAATTGTGAGCAATCCAAATATTTAAATAACTAATACAGTCTAATAATTTATCCGTGGAGCTAAAATCCTCTGGTGACACAGATACGCTACCGGTCAAAAAGTTTTAGAACACCTACTCATTCAAGGGATTTTCTTTATTTTTACTATTTTCTACATTGTAGAATAATAGTGAAGACATCAAAACTAAGAAATAACACGTGTTAAACAAATCAAAATATATTTGAGATTTGAGATTCTTCAAATAGCCACCCCTTGCCTTGATGACAGCTTTGCACACTCTTGGCATTCTCTCAACCAGCTTCACCTGTAATACTTTTCCAACAATCTTGAAGGAGTTCCCACATATGCTGAGCACTTGTTGGCTGTTTTCCTTCACTCTGTGGTCCGACTCATCCCAAACCATCTCAATTTGGTTGAGGTCAGGGGATTGTGGAGGCCAGGTCATCTGATGCAGCACTCCATCACTCTCCTTCTTGGTAAAATAGCCCTTACACAGCCTGGAGGTGTGTTGGGTCATTGTCCTATTGAAAAACAAATGATAGTCCCACTAAGCCCAAACCAGATGGGATGGCCTATCACTGCAGAATGCTGCGGTAGACATGCTGGTTAAGTGTGCCTTGAAATCTAATTAAATCACAGACAGTGTCACCAGCAAAGCACCCCCACACCATAACACCTCCTCCTTCATGCTTTATGGTGGGAAATACACATGTGGAGATAATCCGTTCACCCACACCGCGTCTCACAAAGACACGGCGGTTGGAATCAAAAATCTCAAATTTGGACTCAGACCAAAGGACACATTTCCACTGGTCTAATGTCCATTGCTCATGTTTCTTGGCCCAAGCAAGTCTCTTCTTATTATTGGTGTCCTTTAGTAGTGTTTTTTTTGCAGCAATTTGACCATGAAGGCGTGATTCACACAGTCTCCTCTGAACAGTTGTTGTTGAGATGTGTCTGTTACTTGAACTCTGTGAAGCATTTATTTGGGCTGCAATTTCTGAGGCTGGTAACTCTAATGAGCTTATCCTCTGCAACAGAGGTAACTCTGGGTCTTCCATTCCTGTGGTGGTCCTCATGAGGGACAGTTTCATCATAGCGCTTGATGGTTTTTGCAACTGCACTTGAAGAAATTTTAAAAGTTCTTGAAATTGTCCCTATTGACTGACCTTCATGTCTTAAAGTAATGATGGACTGTCGTTTCTCTTTGCTTATTTGAGCTGTTCTTGCTATAATATGGCCCAGCGTCGTCCAGGGTAGGGGAGGGAATGGCAGGCAGGGAGGTAGCTCAGTTGATAGAGCATGGCGTTTGCAACGCCAGGGTTGTGGGTTCGTTTCCCACGGGGGGCCAGTATGAAAATAATAATGTATGCACTCACTAACTGTAAGTCGCTCTGGAAAAGAGCGTCAGCTAAATTACGTAAATGTAAATGTATATGGACTTGGTATTTTACCAAATAGGGCTACCTTCTGTATACCCCCCTACCTAGTCACAACACAAGTGATTGGCTTAAACGCATTAATTAGGAAATAAATTCCACAAATTGACTTTTAAGAAGGCAAACCTGTTAACTTAAATGCATTCCAGGTGAGTACCTCATGAAGCTGGTTGAGAGAATGCCAAGAGTGTGCAAAGCTGTCATCAAGGCAAAGGGTGGCTATTTGAAGAATCTCAAATATAAAATATATTTTGATTTATTTAACACTTTTTTGGGTTGCTACATGATTCCATATGTGTTATTTCATAGTTTTGATGTCTTTAGTATTATTCTACAATGTAGAAAATAGTAAAAATAAATTAAAACCTTTGAATGAGTAGGTGTTCTAAAACTTTTGACTGGTAGTGTATGTAAAGTTGTGTATCGTCTGCGTAGCAGTGAAAATCAATGCTGTGCTTTCTGATAACGCTGACAAGGGGTATCATATATAAACTGAACAGTACTGGACCCAAAATCGAACCATGTGGACAAGATGCATGAAACAAGATGCATGAAAGTCAGAGAGGTTGACACAGTCTTCCCTTTACCTCCCTCCTCTCTGATACAGTAGTTGCAGTATTGGTAAGACAGTGACCCAGAAGAGTGAAAACGTTCTACTTCAACCAAGAGAACAATAAGTGGTGCTACAGTTTGTGAAAAAGCCTCCCAGTATGACATTTTTACACATCAATGCACTACAAACCTGCCATGTATCTTGTAGCTGTGACTTTGGCTGTGTGTGTGTGTGCCGAGCAGCAGAGCAGACAGTCTTATCGGCCTCTACCCTGTGCTGATGAGGAGATAGAGAGGGAAGATAACATCACAACACAGCAGAGAGGAGACGGATATTTCAAGACCTCTGTGAAGCCAGCCTCTCCTCCCTTTCTCTCTTTTACTCTCTCTCTACTTCTCTGCATCGACAAATTGTAATTGCTCTATTTTTTTCTCAAGTCCCACCTTCCGTGTCTCGTACAACTCCCAGTATCCTTCTTCCTCTCCATCCAAACTCCTAAGTTTCGGGCTGTCCCTTGGTCCTCTGTGTCTGGCCCATCCCACACATCCCCTTTTCCTTACCTCTGGGTCGATCTGTCAGGGCTAGCAAAACTACCATCCAATCACCGTTAAGCCACTAGTCCCGTCTCTCTGAACCCACCACTCCTCCTTTCCTTCCTCTTGTCCCTCTCTCTCCCATCCCAACTCCCCTGTTTCCTTCCCTCTGTCTCTCTCCCATCCCAACTCCCCTTTCTCCTTCCCTCTGTCCCTCTCTCGCTCATCCCATCCTACTCCCCTTCACCCTCCCTGTCCCTTCCTCTCCCTCTCTTCTCCCATCCCAACTCCCCTTCTCCTTCCTCTGTCCCTCTCTCTCCCCTCCCTCCCAACTCCCCTTTTCCTTCCCTCTGTCCCTCTCTCTCCCAATCCCAACTCCCCTTTCTCCTTCCCTCTGTCCCTCTCTCTCTCCCATCCCAACTCCCCTCCTGTCCCTCCTTCCCCTATTCCTCTCTCTCCTTCCCTCCCAACTCCCCTGTCTCCTTCCCTCTGCTCCTTCACTTCCATCCCAACTCCCGTCTCCTTCCCTCTTCCCTCTCTCCATCCCACCTCCCAACCCCACTCAGCCTTCTCCCATCCCACTCCTGTCCCTCTTCTCTCCCATCCCAACTCCCGTCTCTCCCTGTCCCTCTGCTCTCCTCTCTCCCATCCCAACTCCCTGTTTCCTTCCCTCTGTCTCTCTTCCCCATCCCAACTCCCCTTTCTCCTTCCCTCTGTCCCTCTCTCGCTCTCCCATCCTAACTCCACTGTCTCCTTCCCTGTCCCTCTCTCTCCCCTCCTCCCCCACTCCCCCTGCCCTCCTTCCTCTGTCCCTCTCGTCTCCCATCCCAACTCCCCTGTTTCCTTCCCTCTGTCCCTCTCTCTCCCTTCCCAACTCCCCTGTTTCCTTCCCTCTGTCCCTCTCTCTCCCATCCCAACTTCCCTGTCTCCTTCCCTCTGTCCCCCTCTCTCCCATCCCAACTCCCCTGTCTCCTTCCCTCTGTCCCTCTCTCTCCCATCCCAATTCCCCTGTTTCCTTCCCTCTGTCCCTTTCTCTACATAATTCCCACATCCCTTTCTGTTGGTCCAATATCCTTTTTCCTACTGTACTTTCTCCTCAAGGTATTCTAATTTCTGTCTTTCTCATCTCTCCCTCCCTTTTCTCCTCTCCTTCTGTATGTCTTTCTACCTCTCTACCTCCCACTCCTTCTCTCTCCCACCCCCTCTCTGCTACTATAAATGACAGCCTGTTCTCAGACCTCACTACAGAACCAGCTAAATGCCACTAAACTGCTTGGCTTTGCTCTGCATTCAGTTCTGCCTTCAGCTCTGCCTTCAGCCCCTCCAAGGTTACAAAAAATCTGCTTTTGTCGTGCTGCTGAGTCATGTGGTTTTTCTCACATGGAATGAAAAAGAGAGGAGAGAAAAAAAGTGCTGTTTTAAACTGCTGCCTTTTGAGCCTCATTTGGTTTACGAGCCCACAAGGGAGTGAGCAGACGGTTCAAGTAGGAGTCAGTGTGACTTGAAGCATTAACATGCTAACTCTGGAAGACATGGGGACGGAACTCAATGGGAGTTTTTGCAATACAGTTTCTCCTCACATTGTTTATGCCGTATTGGAGGTGTTAGGGTCGACATCTGGAAGGCATTTTCATCCAAACTGAGGCTACTTCGCTACCCAACTACCAACTCTGGCCTCAAAGTCAGAAAAATCCCCTACAAAACTGTAAGACATGAAACTTTAGAATTGGCTTCGCTAAGTAAAACAATGTGAAAGCCAACCAACACAGTGAAGGACTTTAAAGTTATCCAGCCCAATTCAGATACAGTGGGGGAAAAAAGTATTTAGTCAGCCACCAATTGTGCAAGTTCTCCCACTTAAAAAGATGAGAGAGGCCTGTAATTTTCATCATAGGTACACGTCAACTATGACAGACAAAATGAGATCCAGAAAATCACATTGTAGGATTTGTAATGAATTTATTTGCAAATTATGGTGGAAAATAAGTATTTGGTCAATAACAAAAGTTTCTCAATACTTTGTTATATACCCTTTGTTGGCAATGACACAGGTCAAATATTTTCTGTAAGTCTTCACAAGGTTTTCACACACTGTTGCTGGTATTTTGGCCCATTCCTCCATGCAGATCTCCTCTAGAGCAGTGATGTTTTGGGGCTGTCGCTGGGCAACACGGACATTCAACTCCCTCCAAAGATTTTCTATGGGGTTGAGATCTGGAGACTGGCTAGGCCACTCCAGGACCTTGAAATGCTTCTTACGAAGCCACTCCTTCGTTGCCTGGGCGGTGTGTTTGAGATCATTGTCATGCTGAAAGACCCAGCCACATTTTATCTTCAATGCCCTTGCTGATGGAAGGAGGTTTTCACTCAAAATCTCACAATACATGGCCCCATTCATTCTTTCCTTTACACGGATCAGTCGTCCTGGTCCCTTTGCAGAAAAACAGCCCCAAAGCATGATGTTTCCACCCCCATGCTTCACAGTAGGTATGGTGTTCTTTGGATGCAACTCAGCATTCTTTGTCCTCCAAACACGACGAGTAGATTTTTTACCAAAAAGTTATATTTTGGTTTCATCTGACCATATGACATTCTCCCAATCCTCTTCTGGATCATCCAAATGCACTCTAGCAAACTTTAGACGGGCCTGGACATGTACTGGCTTAAGCAGGGGGACACGTCTGGCACTGCAGGATTTGAGTCCCTGGCGGCGTAGTGTGTTACTGATGGTAGGCTTTGTTACTTTGGTCCCAGCTCTCTGCAGGTCATTCACTAGGTCCCCCCGTGTGGTTCTGGGATTTTTGCTCACCGTTCTTGTGATCATTTTGACCCCACGGGGTGAGATCTTGCGTGGAGCCCCAGATCGAGGGAGATTATCAGTGGTCTTGTATGTCTTCCATTTCCTAATAATTGCTCCCACAGTTGATTTCTTCAAACCAAGCTGCTTACCTATTGCAGATTCAGTCTTCCCAGCCTGGTGCAGGTCTACAATTTTGTTTCTGGTGTCCTTTGACAGCTCTTTGGTCTTGGCCATAGTGGAGTTTGGAGTGTGACTGTTTGAGGATGTGGACAGGTGTCTTTTATACTGATAACAAGTTCAAACAAGTGCCATTAATACAGGTAACGAGTGGAGGACAGAGGAGCCTCTTAAAGAAGAAGTTACAGGTCTGTGAGAGCCAGAAATCTTGCTTGTTTGTAGGTGACCAAATACTTATTTTCCACCATAATTTGCAAATAAATTCATAACAAATCCTACAATGTGATTTTCTGGATTTTTTTTTCCTCAATTTGTCTGTCATAGTTGACGTGTACCTATGATGAAAATTACAGGGCTCTCTCATCTTTTTAAGTGGGAGAACTTGCACAATTGGTGGCTGACTAAATACTTTTTTCCCCCACTGTACATATGAACTCCTCACCACTAGAAGAGGCTTTCTAAAGTTAAATAAGGAGAATTAAGGAGAAACAAACAGTCATTGATAGGTAATTATTCACAGAAATTCAAAGTCAGAAAGTTTCTCTCTGTTCTTTCTCTCTCGCTCTTTTTGAGTCTCTCTCTCCGTTTCTCTCGCTTTGTTTCTTTCTCTCTCTCTCTGAGGGAAATAAGGTTGTGGCGACGCAGCAGTCCATTTCATTTTCCTTTACAACCTGCCCATCCACGTACAAATGGTGCTAATCGATCACACAGTGTGATTAAATTAGCTTAGCGTAGCCATTCTGATGATTTAACTTCGGCTCAGTGAGTGCATTAGCTAGCTTAGCATAGGCAGTGTAAATATGTTAGCTTGGCTTAGCCTCTCGACTGACGCTATTATTAGCAAAATGAGGACAACAACACTCTTAAAACCAAACAGTGAGTTGATTATACCCTTCTAAACCAGTGAATAACAGACAAACACTCCTAATCACTCCTTCTTTGACTTATTCTCATATTTTTCTGTTTCAATTATATATTCCCATAATCCTAAGTACTTTTTAAATACGCAACATATTGTGGTGGCTTCTCCCCACACTGAGAAGATAAAGACAACTGTTGCAGGGAGATAAAAGTACAGAGAGAGAGAGAGTGATTAAAAATGGCTACAAGTGCCCTCCTCCTCTCTCTCTCTCCTCCCCTCCCTCTCTCCCACTCCACTCCCCTTGATGAGTTGAATCAGTGGGCCGCTAACACAGGCCTTTTATTGGATAATTGAATGTGTGATTAATAAAAGCTATTATGTCCATATCAGAAACAAAAACACAGACACAATCGATACACTTACTGGAGGAGAAGGACACTCTCAGGCAAAGCTCATCTCCGGAATAAGAAAATGTATTCCTTTCTCCCCTTTCATTTGTTTACATGAATCTAACCGTAATGTAAACAAATAGCTATATTCATAGAAAAAGGAGGAGAAATTGATGTTGTTGACTTGGTGATATAAGGATAGATATAGCCCAATAAAGAGATGAGAGTTTCCAGCCCTCCACTTCTCTTCAGTCCCTCCTGAGTCCTAAATCTCTCTCCACCTCCCCCTCTGCTCTCTCCATCAAATTCATCCTTATCCCTCTCTCTCCCTCTTCCATCACTCTCTCTTGTCTCCTTGATTTCTGAGACTGTCATTTCATCATCATTTTCTTCCTCTCCTTCAAGCTCTGCTCCAGCCCTCCTATATCTTCCTCTTTATTCATTTAGGTGCCTTAGCTTACCTTCTTTCGTTCTTTCTCATACCTTCCTAAGCCTCACATCAGACCTCCCATTTCCATTTACCCATGCATATATGTATGTATTTCTCCCCTCATCCAGACAAGTCCAGTTAGTGTGTGTGTGTGTGTGTGTGTATGTGAGTGAGTGAGTGAGTGAGTGAGTGAGTGAGTGAGTGAGTGAGTGAGTGAGTGAGTGAGTGAGTGAGTGAGTGAGTGAGTGAGTGAGTGAGTGAGTGAGTGAGTGAGTGAGTGAGTGAGTGAGTGTGTGTGTGTGTGTGTGTGTGTGTGTGTGTGTGTGTGTGTGTGTGTGTGTGTGTGTGTAATGGACTGTGACGCGTTCAAAGGGCCGGTGCTTTATACTGAACTGCCCCAGGTCGCTCTCTCAGGGTCTGCGGGAACTCAAAGCCAATCTATTAAGAATAGAGAGAAGGGGGAGAAAGACCTGAAGTCCAAATGAAAAGTGATCCTTTTCACTTTCAACTCCTTCATTCTATTAACCACTATGTCTCTGAGACCCCACAGCCTGAAAGAGACAGAGAGAGAAGGTGAGAGAGACGAGAGAGAGAGAGAGAGAAGAGAGAGAGAGAGGAGAGAGAGCGAGAGAGAGAGAGAGAGAGGAGTGAGAGAGAAGGAGAGAAGAGGGAGAAGATCGAGAATAGCGGCGTCGAAGGGGTAAGGGGGACGTGCGACTGAGGGGGGAGAGAAAGAGGAAGAGAGTAGAGAGGCGGGACGGGAGAGTGGGGGGGGAGGATCGGAGCGAGAGCGAGAGTGACGCGAGAGCGAAGAGTAGAGAGCAGCAAGACGCTGTTGAGAGAAGAGGAGAGAGCGCACCGATGGGAAAGGGGCGAAAGGAGAGAAGAGAGGAAAGGAGAGAGAGAAATGGGGAGAGAGAGAGAGAGTTGTGTGTGTAAAAGTAAGAGAAACAGCGCAAGAAAGACGAAATGACAGAGAGAGGGAGAGGCAGAGGCAGAGAACGAGGGAGAATAGGATAGTAGCAAGAAGAGGAAGTGGATTGTATTCTTCTGTATTGAATATTGTGCCTTTTTGAGCCGTACCCTGTTTTCCAAAGACTGTTTGACCAAGCTATCGTTCTCTCCACTCTGTCATCACCATTCACTGTAACCATATTCTGTCCCATAATAAAACAGGCAAACACATACGCACACTCGCGCACACTCGCGCACACACACACACACACCATTACATAGTTACACAGCCGTGGAAATGTGTGTGTACTCTCCAGGCATTTGTGTGAATGAAATAATAGCCTTCTGAACGAAATGGAGAAAAAGGCCAGAGAAACACATTAATGTGTCAACAGCAACAACAGCTGCAACGACAGCAGCTGCAGACAAGCAGCCAGGCTTAAACATGACCAGAGACTGAATCACAACTATGAAGGGTAATTATGTATCATTGCACAGTAACCACATCGCGAAATACTAAAGAACCACTACCTTTGTTACATTTACCATATTGTAGTGGTCATAGTTGTGGTTTTGTTTATAATAGAGGGTGTCATTTTGGCTACAGGGGTTGTGGGTATTGTTGTATTGACCGTGGTTCATGATACTGACTGTGCAATAGTTCTATGACCGTGTTACTGACCATGCAGAGGTTGTATTCATCATGCTACTGACCGTGCAGTAATCAAATTGACCATTGTTATGGTACTGACCGTGCAGTGGTTGTGCTGCTGCAGCAGGGTGGGGACGTCTCCTCCTATGGGCATCTGTTTGGCCAGGTCCTCATCCTTCAGACAGATCCACCTCCACAGCTCCTCCAGCAGGCTCAGCAGACGACTCCAACGCTCCGCACTCGCCTCCAGGTGAGCCCTGGAAACACATGGTCATAACATGGTTACATTACGGTTACAACCAAGGTTGGGTGGTAACTGATTACATGTAATCGGTCACATGTAATCTGATTACAAAAAACAGTAACTGTAATCGGTTATGTTACCAGCAAAAATGTTGTAATCGGATTACATATACTTTAGAAAAACTAGAGGATTACTTTTAAATTCAGAAAGAATGTTGGTGAAAAAATACATTATTACACCTTTCTGTTTTCTCAATGACATTCAATTTAGCATTGAAAAAAGGCACAAGTTTAACTTTGTTCTCCCAGAGTGAGTCTGACCACAAGTCAGAGACCACTATGATGACAACCAAATGTGTTTGATGGATCCTTTTAGTCTTCTTCTAAAGCCTCTTAAAGGTAAAGTAATCCAAAAGCAACTGAAAGTAATCAGATTACGTTACTGAGTTTGGGTAATCCAAAAGTTACGTTACTGATTACAATGTTGGACAGGTAACTAGTAACTAAAATATGTTTACAATACAGTTATAACATGGTTGAAACATGGTTACAAGATGGTTATGACATGGTTAAAGCAGTTTCAAACATGACCATGATAAGGTCCATCTCTATGTAAGCAGAAGGTTAAACCAGCCATCTCCAGGTGGATACTACGACAGAATAACATGGTTAGAACCATGGCTAGACTGCCAAGGTTGGGGTGGGTGTGTCAACCATTACAACTGGACGTATTTCAAAGTAGTCAGTTTGCTTGACAACTCCTGTCCAACATCTGGAAGCATTAAGACTAGGAAACAAGAGATTGAACGCTACACTGGGTGTTTCCTTCTCTGTAGGGCAGCCAAAACCAATTCTACAGGAGTGTGTGTGTGTAGACTTGTATTACTATCCTTGTGGGTACTGGAAATCCCCAAAAGTCCTCACAAGGATAGTAAAACAACAAACATTCTCCCTTGTGGGGACATTTGCCAGGTCCCCACAAGGACAAAGGCTATTTTAAGGTTAGGGAAAATAGGATTTTGAATGGAAATCAATTTAAGGATAGTAAAAGATATTCTGTGTGTGTGTGAGTGTACATCAAAGTGTGTGTTATACAGCATAATGTGTATTATTATTCAGTGTGTGTGTACTCTTAAATGCTTTGTTTTTACATTCAACACAGTCCCATAGCAGCTACTCTAATTATACATGCCCAGTAATCAAGACATAACAGACCCTAAATAATACACACACACACCACTCTATTGTGCACTATATATCAATCTTTCTAACACCGTCTAACCTTCCTTCACTATTCCTCAGTTATATTACTTTTCTCCTTTGCTCACCACAACCCTCTCTTCCGCTTCACAACCCTCTCTTCCGCTTCACAACCCTCTCTTCCGCTTCACACCACTCTCTTCCGCTTCACAACCCTCTCTTCCGCTTCACAACCCTCTCTTCCGCTTCACAACCCTCTCTTCCGCTTCACAACCCTCTCTTCCGCTTCACAACCCTCTCTTCCGCTTCACAACCCTCTCTGCCGCTTCACAACCCTCTCTTCCGCTTCACAACCCTCTCTTCCGCTTCACAACCCTCTCTTCCACTTCACAACCCTCTTCTTCCAACCCTCTCTTCCGCTCACAACCCTCTCTTCCGCTTCACAACCCTCTCTTCCGCTTCACAACCCTCTCTTCCGCTTCACAACCCTCTCTTCCGCTTCACAACCCTCTCTTCTGCTTCACAACCCTCTCTTCCGCTTCACAACCCTCTCTTCCGCTTCACAACCCTCTCTTTCGCTTCACAACCCTCTCTTTCGCTTCACAACCCTCTCTTCCGCTTCACAACCCTCTCTTCCGCTTCACAACCCTCTCTTCCACTTCACAACCCTCTCTTCCACTTCACAACCCTCTCTTCCACCTCACAACCCTCTCTTCCACTTCACAACCCTCTCTTCCGCTTCACAACCCTCTCTTCCGCTTCACAACACTCTCTTTCGCTTCACAACCCTCTCCTCCGCTTCACAACCCTCTCTTCATAACCACCAATCTCTCTCTTTATTTATGCCAAGATTTTGGCCGCTCCTCCACTGTCCAGGCTTTGCAGAGTTACGTGGCACAGTATTGGCTCATTCAGTCTCACAGAGGGCATATTTCATGTGTCCAAAGCAAAGCATACATGTTCTAGCTAGAGTTTATGGAATAGTTTCATGCACATAAATATTACAGAACAAACAACTCAGCATGGTTATGACATACACTCCCTTGCATATCTAAATGGGAACGATGATTGATTGTAGTCATGGTCAACTATAAATAAGAGTGTGTAGAAATATCATAAGACCAGCACTCTAGTAGGTCCAGTAGATGCTTTAAAGTAACTGTCCAGTGTTTCCAGATTTCTTTGAAATATGACCTATAATTAATTACAATATATGAGTCCATTGTTTTTCCTTCACAAAAATGGCAATTAACTATGTTAAAAATGTTGGAAACCCCAACAGCAGAATGATATGTGCACATACCGGTCATTAAAAATATTAATGTGAGTAGACCACTGATTAGACAGCTTATCCTCCTCAGGGGGATGACGTCATCCTCTATGAGGAAATAGCAAGCATTTTTTAAACGGTCTGTTTATGCTTTGGCAACAAATACGAGTATACGACGGGGAAACAACATTATTTGGGTATGAAAAAGTGAGATTTTCACTGGATAGTTACTTTATAGGAAAATCTTATTGTATTTGTTTCATTAGTCCACTGTTGATACAGTCCCAAAATGTTTTGCATGTCAACAATCAAGTTGTCAAGATATATAACTTTCAAAACACAGAAAGTGTCACAGTATGATGTGAGTGAGTGTCAAGCGGATGGAGATTCAGTGAATGATTAAGATATGAAAGTCTTGGACTGCACTTTTTTCCTTTAGAGAGGTTGAGTATCTGCATTCTGTGATGTAACAGTACAGTCTGTGCTTGGGAGGCTTTTTACTGTATGTTGGAAGAATGCTGCAGTACTGACAGTATTTAGACTTCTACATTCTACAGGTTTACGGTGCTGATCTTAAGGCATTATATTACAGTACTCACCATATGTTATTATTAGTATGTTAGAGTACTGACCATACTGTATGTTATCAGTATGTTACAGTACTGACCGTATGTTAGCAGACTTGTGTTGTTTAGTGTTATGTTACTGACTGAATGTTGTCAGTATATTATAGTACTGACCGTATGTTGGCCGACTTGGTCTTGAGGTCGCTCCAGCGCTGGTTCATGTCATCCAGTCGGTGTTGCAGAAACACTGCCTCCTCAGAGGTCCCCAGGGCCTTGACCATCTTGGGCTTGTTCCCGTCCACACTCTTATAGATGTCATTATGGGCATCGATCTCTGCCTGGATATCCTATAGAGAAACAGAGAAGGAGAGAAAGGTTTTAGTCTGTGTTGTACAGTTATTACACAGCTTCAGAGATGCACCACCAACATCAAAACATCTAAATAAAACAACAATCACTTTCTATTAGCTTTAAGATGGTGGGGTTGAAGAGGGAGAGAGTGAGCCACTTGTGCTAGCTGGTCATGATGAGTGTGTGCCATTGCAGAGCCAGCGAAACAGAGGGGGCAGAGCAGTTTAAACATCTTTCAAATGTCCTCTAGCTACTCTGGACTCGTGGAAAGTAAACTATTTCCAAACTCCTCAGCCTCCCAAGCGAGAAACAATTCATTCTAAACCCCCTCCTACCCTAACCAAGCGACCCGGGTCTCCATACTTATGCTATGAAGCTCTATGTTCTGCTACATGAAAGTAAGCTAAGCTAATGATACGCTGTGCTCCCCTGAACAACGCTAATGTAAGCTAATAGGATGCTACGCAATGCCTGACGAGACCGGTGTGTGTCAGTGTGTGTGTGTGATTCACAGTGGGACCCTGGGCACTGAAGCAAGGCAGAGAGTGGGCCCTACAGATTTAGAATTTGGATGAGGGTGTGCTGTGTGTGAATGTGTGTATGTGTGTGTTCCCCTGGTTTCATTTTGAAACCTTTTCTCTCTGGCTAACCTGTCCTCCACTCTCCACCCCGATCAGTATAGACCACCACTGTGTCTTGTCGTGTGTGTCTGTGTGTGTGTCTGTGTGTGTGGACCACCATAGGGAGACTGACACAAGAGGAGGATCCTGTCAAATTCTTAGTAAAACTGCTCCATTTCTCACTGAGCTGGGACTCCCCTGAGCGCGGGCCATTTTTAAGTGGGAGAGATAAAAGACACTCACATACATACACACACACACACCCTGAGCACTCACACAGAGACACACACACACCCTGAGCACTCACACAGAGATACACACACACCCTGAGCACTCACACAGAGACACACACACACCCTGAGCACTCACACAGAGACACACACACACCCTGAGCACTCACACAGACACACACACACACCCTGAGCACTCACACAGAGACACACACACACCCTGAGCACTCACACAGAGACACACACACACACCCTGAGCACTCACACAGAGATACACACACACCCTGAGCACTCACACAGAGACACACACACACACCCTGAGCACTCACACAGAGACACACACACACCCTGAGCACTCACACAGAGACACACACACACCCTGAGCACTCACACAGAGACACACACACACCCTGAGCACTCACACAGAGACACACACACACCCTGAGCACTCATACAGAGACACAAACACACCCTGAGCACTCACACAGAGACACACACACACCCTGAGCACTCACACAGAGATACACACACACCCTGAGCACTCACACAGAGACACACACACACACCCTGAGCACTCACACAGAGACACACACACAAAAAGAGCTCACACAGTGGACTCATATACTGCCAAACTGAAATTCATACAGAGCTAAGCACCAACAGAAAGCAGGCAAAACATTACTTATGCACAAACAGGCATATGACCGACTGGTGACTGCACATGACAACAACATATGACATTAGGTCAAGTATGTTTTTAGAGAGGCCAGTATACACGTCACACAGTATGGTAGCCTGTCTGTCTGCAATACCCAATGTGCAACCCCTGTCATTCGCATAGCATGGTCCTGAGGAAAGGAAGTCAGTTATTTTCACAAGAAGGGATAAAGGGTGAAAGGGCTCTACTGTGAATCTCTCTATCACAGTCATCTATCTCCCCACCACAAATCTAATGACTGAAGGTCATAAGGAGAGATACTTCAGAGAGAGGGAGGGGGAGAGAGATGCAGAAAGAGTGTGTGTGTGTGTGTTGTGAGTGAGTGAGTGAGTGAGTGAGTGAGTGAGTGAGTGAGTGAGTGAGTGAGTGAGTGAGTGAGTGAGTGAGTGAGTGAGTGAGTGAGTGAGTGAGTGAGTGAGTGAGTGAGTGAGTGAGAGGAGCCAGTGAGTCAGTTGGATATGTTCCAGACAATGTGTATAAACCCTGGATTGCTGATGCTATGTATTGGCCAATGACATGCTTTGAAGCCATCGGCTGCCATATTGGTACTCCTCAGAAGGAGCAAGAATGAATGGAATTTTACAGTATTTCAATTAAATATTTCAAGGACAATATTACATGTAATTAAGTATTTTTTTGTTGTAGTTGTAACAGTAACATTAGTACTTTAAGGAATATGTTTTAATATATTATTATTTTTGTTGTTTATGTGTAGTTCACATAATTTAATATAAAAGTATGCATTAAGGTGTCTGTAATAGAATATACTTGACAAAAAGTAATGTAGACATTAATACATGCTTTTGTATAGCTTCCAAAATGTATTTTTCTTTTTTTTTAAATTTTACAATTGAAGACAAGTAGCAAAATGGCTGCGCAGTGGCTTCAAAACAGTCATCCAGGTTTTATACACATCATTGGTTCCAGCTCATTCCCAAAGTGCTTTTCCTCCTGAACACTTTTTCTTCCAGGGGAAGATGCTACCGAGGTGATGCACGCATTCCATAGTCCATGCACGCATGCTCCGCATGAGCACACACACACACACACACACACACTAGTGCCAAATAGCCTTCTCATATCAGCTGCATGAGAGTGCTCATTCATATAAGCCCATGTTTTATTTACTGGTTTCATTTAGATGAAAATCAACACTTTTAGCGCACGCACACACACGGCCCTTTCAGCTGTATTCTAATGAGGACTCTGGAGATGAGGGTCACATATGTCTGCCATTTCTACGGCGAGGACACACACACACACACACACACACACACACAGAGAGAGACATTCCATGGCTGAACCACTACTGGGAATACATTACAATACCGCCGCTATGTTTAGGAATAGATGAACCATGTCCATATGATGGCTGTTCCACACACAACCCTCTATCAAAGCCATGTCTTTTTCTCCGTCTTCTAACGCAGAGCAGCAGCAGCATAAGGATAGTGGCTAATGGATTTTGTCCCTGTCTCACCCAGTAATGAATGGAAGATTGACAGATACTATCCCCAGGGGGCCTAATGTTACACCTTTTTGGGTTTGCAGAGGAACCTGGCATTAGAAATGTACCGATCAGAGGAATGGCTGACTGACAAACACACGTGCAGGCTGCATGTAGCCTAGCGGTTAGAGCGCTGTGCTAGTAACCAAAAGGTTGCTAATTCGAATCCCCGAACCGACAAGGTGAAAAATCTGTCCATGTGCCCTTGAGCAAGGCCTTTAACCCGAATTGCTCCAGGTTCGCCGTTGATAATGGCCGTGACTCCACTCTCTGAGGGTGTTTCAGGGAAAGTTGGGATATGATTTCCGATTCACACGTGCATATTAATACACACTTGTGTGAAATAGGAGAAATATAAGCACCCACCAAATTATTATTATTACACACACACACACACACACAAAAGGCGGCCTGCACACACACAAGGATAAACAGAATAAGAAACTAAAAATAGCCGTCTGAAAGTTAGGTTACTGTTGCACATCAACAAGCAGCTTTGGTAAACAAATACTGGACACACACATGCACCTTGAACGCACAAAGTGGCAAAACCTCAATAATAAAGCATTACAGCGTTCCAGACGTCAGAGAGTAAAGCACTTTAAGAATCTTAGTCTCCCTATGTGTTCCCCTGCAGACTCTAGCTGTGCCCCTCTAATAACGCTGCTACCACGATAAAAAGCTTTAATGAGTTCAATAATTACTCCTCATACTTCATAAACCTCAGAAACTCATTCAGCAGACTGCCTCACTTTATACTACATAGACCGAGAGGGAGCGAGGGAGAGAAAGGAGAGAGACAGTAAATGTCAGCAGAGTCCCAAGCTAGAAGAGAGGTGAAGTTCTCTGGTTGACAGTAACAGGTGAGCTGACCTTCACGTGTTTGACTACAGTGATTTAGTATGAGGCTGGGTTCTCATCTGTGGCATCAAAAATAAACAACCTTTCCTTTCAGTTTGTCTCAACGGGAGCTCAAAAAGATCTCAAACATCTCAAATCTACCTCTTCAAATTTCCTGAGCAGCTCCTGCAAGCTGAAGTTCAAGCCAATCATCTTCGGCTCCAGGATTAGTCTCCCCTCTACATCGTCTCTGAGGTCACAGAGGGCAAAGGGCACAGAGAGGTCGTGCGGGTTTGGGAAGTCCTTCAGTGGTTCCGGTCAAAACCAGCTCTCAAAACACAGTCAAGGTCAGTACTCAAAACACGGTCAAATACAATCCAAATATGGTCGAATCCAGTTCTCCAAATACAATTAAATCCAGTGCTCAAAACACGGTCAAATCCAATTCGTGCTCTCCAACCCGGTGACATACACACTTCACACACCCGTCGTTGCCTGTGTGTGTGTGTCAGCGTGTGTTTTCGCCCTGCTAGGCTACATGGTAGAAGCATCCTCCTTGATGGAACACAGGCTGAGAAGGGGGCCAGTGCTAGCCTGCTGTCATGCCTCAAGCCTGGGGTTGGAAGTCCTGAGAGCTGGGCTGAGGCTGGAGCTCCAGGAGGTAGGAGGTAAGAGGCTGTCTGAGGAGGTCTGTAGGCTGGGGAAGAAGTCCTTCAGCTGGGGTAGAATTCCAGGGGTCAGGGTTGGAGATCTAGAGGAAACTATCCAAGTGCTGTCAAGAGAGGTTTGTAGACTGACGTGGAGGGTTGAAGAAGTGTTCCAGCCTCTCCTTGAACTTCCCTCTTGTTTTTTTTTCTTCCCTTCTTCTCTTTCTTCCTCCACTGCTCCTCTTGTCACTAAGGAAGATGTTTACACTCCAGCCCGTGGTAGGGCCGAGCGTTTGTTCTCAATTACCCAGATAGAAAAGCACTCTGTCCCTGCCTCAGGGAAAAGGAAGAAACACAAAGAGGCACATGGTCCGCCGACCTCTCTTTCCTCTTTCACCAAGGTAATGCTAACACACTGCAGAGGAAACACACACACAAACACACACCTACACACACTCTTACACTGTGTGAGAGAGACAGAGGCATGCAGTCTTAGCTCTACTACCAGCCCCCAGCGCCCTACCCCAGCCTGGACTCCCTCTCTCACACCCTGCTAATCACAGCCAAGGCAGGGCCAGTTAGTGAAAGAATGTCCCCTTCCCCTCTGGAGCCCTCAGGCCACGTGTCCAGGGAGAGAAGCCCCTGATCAGAGTCATGATCCTGAGAGATTGTCTGGCAAGCTGGCCTCTATGTCCTGGAGCTCGTCCAGTATGATCTCCTTGCAGGGTGGAAAAGGCAGAAGTTTGTCTTTCTCTTCTCTCTTCCTGTTGATTTGTAGAACTTTTTGAGTTAAACTTTTTCTCCCTCAGTTTCCTTTACCTCTAATCTGCTATCCCTCCCATCCTCTCTGGCGCTCTTTCACTCCTTTTCACCGGCCAGTGACTCTGCTCCTTCCAGCAGCTGTTTATTATTTTAATCAGCATCCTCCCTTTCCACCCCTCCACTTCCTTTTCTCCTTCTCTCCCTCCCTCCCTCCCTCCCTCTGTACAGGTCCCGCTCCGCACGCTAAACTAACTCAGCACACACCCATTTCCTGAGGCCTCTACTGATACACAGAGAGAGAATGGTGGGAGGGGGTGGAGAGAGAGGGGCAGAGGTAGCGGAGGTGACATGTGGACAGAAAGTTAGGTAGAGAAATGCCCAAATCAAGAGAGGGGGAAGAGGAAGCAGAAAAGAGAGAAGGTTGTGGAAAGAGAAAAGGGAGAGAAGAAAAGAGGGGGCAGAGGTTTGAGTAACGCAGCACTTTACTAGCAAAACGTTCTACCTGTCAGAGTCGGGGATGGTGAAAACATGTGGCTCTCACATGAATGGAGAGAAGGAAAAAGAAAAGAAAGGACTGGGGGTTAATCGCCCCTTTAGAAGGTTTGGGGGTTATAGCTTTGAAACTACAACCATACGGATGTTAGGTCTATACCTGCCTCTGTGTGTGGAAGCCTACAGAGACAGAGTCTACCAACAGATATTTGGTGTGTGCATCACGGCTACACATCAGATGGCTGCCGAAGGGGGAAAAAAATAACAATAATACCATCCCGAATATTCATGAGGAGAAGCCTTTGAAGTGTGCTTTACTTAATACAAATATTAACATATGCAATTTTCCCCTGTAACAGCACTTCTGATGAGGCACTATGTATGCAGACATGAATATGCGCCCTGTGTGTTTTTTGAGAAGCAAGTCCAAGTCGATTAAACGGCGGGAAATTAGCAAGTTCAACATGCGAGTGAGACAATTTCAACAACAACTGTGGGGAAATCCACTGGAAGAAGCCTTAAGGGGGAGAATGTGTTGGACGATTATGACTTTCCCTGGGGTTTGATACACACCATCTTTAAAAAATAATAACACTCACACAGAGGAAAACACCAGGGGCAAACACACACACGCAAGCGCACACACAAACACACATGGCGGCCCAGCTTTGAGGGAGCAGGAGGTAAAAGTTAGGCTACATTACTACAGCTAAGTGGATTAGGACCATTACAGAGGTAAGACGCAAAGCTATTGACTAGGGATGAGCGAGAGAGAGAGAGAGAGAGAGAGAGAGAGAGAGAGAGAGAGAGAACAAGGGAAGAGGGAGACAAATGCTAAAGGGAGGAGCGAGTGAGAGAATGCCAAGGAGGAGTGAAAGAGTGGGAGCTGAGTTTATTGTCTCACCCTGTGTATGTAAGTAGTCTAGGAGCCAGAGTCGAGCTATGGGCTAACACATCAGTTACAGCAGGGACAACAAACACTAGCTATCCTGTGTGGACTGTAAAATACTGCTTTACAAGAAACCACGCAAATACCTCCTGTGATTGATGTGATCACTAAGTATGTCCATGTTAAGTGTGTTGTTTCCTGACAGATCTACATTGAAAAATGTACGGAAGATTTCAAAATGAGTGTAGCTTCACTTAACTTTACAAGATATTTAGAGGACACTCACAACAGGACATACAGCCCTCCTCCACAGTCAATGTTGTTCTCTTCTGAGAAGTAACAAACTGAAGTTGAGAAAATAACAATGTCTCGAATGTGTGGGTTGAGTGTGTGGGTTGAGTGCCTTGCAAAAGTGCCCCTTGGCGTTTTTTCCTATTTTGTTGCTTTACAACCTGTAATTTAAATTGATTTTTATTTGGATTTCATGTAATGGACATACACAAAATAGTCTAAATTGGTGAAGTGAAATGAAAAAAATAACTTGTTTCAAAAAATTCTAAACAATAAATAACGGAAAAGTGGTATGTGCATATGTATTCACCCCCTTTGCTATGAAGCCCCTAAATAAGATCTGGTGCAACCAATTACCTTCAGAAGTCACATAATTAGTTAAATAAAGTCCACCTGTGTACAATCTAAGTGTCACATGATCTCAGTATATATACACCTGTTCTGAAAGGCCCCAGAGTCTGCAACACCACTAAGCAAGTGGCACCACCAACCAAGCGGCGCCATGAAGACCAAGGAGCTCTCCAAACAGGTCAGGGACAAAGTTGGGGAGAAGTACAGATCAGGGTTGGGTTATAAAAAAATATCAGAAACTTAATAAATAATAAATAATATGCCATTTAGCAGACGCTTTTATCCAAAGCGACTTACAGTCATGCGTGCATACATTTTTTTTGTGTATGGGTGGTCCCGGGGATCGAACCCACTACCTTGGCGTTACAAGCGCCGTGCTCTACCAGCTGAGCTACAGAGGACCACTTCTAACATCCCACGGAGCACCATTAAATCCATTATGTGGTCCTCTGTAGCTCAGCTGGTAGAGCACGGCGCTTGTAACGCCAAGGTAGTGGGTTCGATCCCCGGGACCACCCATACACAAAAAAAAAATGTATGCACGCATGACTATAAGTCGCTTTGGATAAAAGCGTCTGCTAAATGGCATATTATTATTATAAAATAATTTGAAAGAATATGGCACCACAACAAACCTGCCAAGAGTGGGCACCCACCAAAACTCACGGACCAGGCAAGGAGGGCATTAATCAGAGAGGCAACAAAGAGACCAATTGGTAGAGCATGGCGCTTGTAACGCCAGGGTAGTGGGTTCGATCCCCGGGACCACCCATACGTAAAAATGTATGCGCACATTACTGTAAGTCGCTTTGGATAAAAGCGTCTGCTAAATGGCATATTAACCCTGAAGGAGCTGCAAAGCTCCACAGCGGAGATTGGAGTATCTGTCCATAGGACCACTTTAAGCCATACACTCCACAGAGCTGGGCTTTACGGAAGAGTGGCCAGAAAAAAGCCATTGCTTAAAGAAAAAAATAAGCAAACACGTTTGGTGTTCGCAAAAAGGCATGTGGGAGACTCCCCAAACATATGGAAGAAGGTACTCTTGTCAGATGAGACAAAAATTGAGTTTTTTGGCCATCAAGGAAAACGCTATGTCTGGCGCAAACCCAACACCTCTCATCACCCCGAGAACACCATCCCCACAGTGAAGCATGGTAGTGGCAGCATCATGCTGTGGGGATGTTTTTCATCGGCAGGGACTGGGAAACTGGTCAGAATTAAAGGAATGATGGATGGCGCTAAATACAGGGAAATTCTTGAGGGAAACCTGTTCCAGTCGTCCATAAATTTGAGAATGGGACGGAGGTTCACCTTCCAGCAGGACAATGACCCTAAGCATACTGCTAAAGCAACACTCGAGTGGTTTAAGGGGAAACATTTAAATGTCTTGGAATGGCCTAGTCAAAGCCCAGACCTCAATCCAATTGAGAATCTGTGGTATGACTTAAAGATTGCTGTACACCAGCGGAACCCATCCAACTTGAAGGAGCTGGAGCAGTTTTGCCTTGAGGAATGGGCAAAAATTCCAGTGGCTAGATATGCCAAGCTTATAGAGACATACCCCAAGAGACTTGCAGCTGTAATTGCTGCAAAAGGTGGCTCTACAAAGTATTGACTTTGGAGGGGTGAATAGTTATGCACGCTCAAGTTGTTTTTTTGTCTTATTTCTTGTTTGTTTCACCCCAAAAAATATTTTGCATCTTCAAAGTGGTAGGCATGTTGTGTAAATCAAATGATACAAACCCCCCAAAAATCCATTTTAATTCCAGGTTGTAACGCAACAAAATAGGAAAAATGCCAAGGGGGGTGAATACTTTCGCAAGCCACTGTATAGGAATGTATAGTGTTCTGTCTTCAGAGTGGGAGAGCATCCATTTACTGTATGTGACGACAAACATTCTTCACACGTTCTATAACTTAGTAAGGTTATTCTGTGCTTACAGAATGAAAAAGTTGACTGTGTAAACACTACTGTGATATTCTTAAGACAACAAGTCAAACTACGGTCACCATCCTTCTCTCTACCACTCCATCT